CTTGCTTTCAAACCATGAGGCTTTAGCCCTTTCAATTACGTTGCGCTTTTTCGTATTATCCCAAATGGGCAAATGATATGATGCATATAGAGGTGTCGCAATACCGTTGTCGCTTCTAAAAGGGATAGTGTGCATGCGGCTTGAGCCTCTTCTGCAGCAACGTTTGTCATGTACGCCACAACATGCTATATAACTATGGATCAGAGCAGAAATGACAAAGCATGATCGGTGTATTTGGCCTTTGGTACGAGACTCTTACTGTTATCATCTTGAAGATGACTATTTGTATCTCGGAATATTTCATTGGGCGGTTCAACTGACTGTCTGCAAAGAGGCCACAGCTTTTCCTATTGACGTTTATGTTTTTCTGAATGAGTTACCGTTATGGCTGCCACGACCGCACTAGAAGAGCGCTTTCAACTTCAGGCAGAATGGGTGCCATTGTCTGTTCATCTATGTAAAGAGCTTAAGCAATGATACAAAAGGAGAGAAATTACTTCAGTAATTCGGATTTCTTTTCGTAATAACTACAGTCCTAGCTACAACGTGTATGCTAATCCAACTATAACAATGCTTATCGATGTGTATATGCGTATGTAGACATGATACACGGTGATTACTTCTTGTTCCTATCTGTCTCCCAAATTGCCAACGTTTTTTTTTTTTCGTAGAAGCTATTGCTGTTAACGTGGGCCCGTTGATTATGATGCTCCGTCTATGAACTCCTATGGGCAATTGGTGACGAATTTTTCTGAGGAGCAGTTACTCTAACCTATCCTAGTAATCAATGATGGTAGAACCAAGTGCTCCTCCGTATATCCTATATAGACCAAGTTCAGGACGACATGTTGCGACTCATTTTGTGACGAGCCACTGCAGCGAGTTTCTGCTGCTGCTGATTGCTAGACAGTGCCACCGAGGAGACTCGCGGCTGCCTCTCTCTAATTCCTCTTCATAGGAGGGAGAAATAAGGGGGATCTACGTGCACAAGGCACCCATTGCTAAAGTTGCTGTAGTGTCGTTATCGTCAAGAGCATCTCAGGGCCCTGAAGAGAAACTTTGAGCATGCTGCCCCCCTCAGCTTCCCGCCCACACTTCTTTACCCAGAAAAATGAGAGCGGCGGAACTGAATGCGAAAACGACAACAACGATGACGACCCAGATAAGGCGTTTGGGGTCGTCCATTGAGACAACATACTCCTCCTGTTATTTTTTTCGCCGGCGTCGCTCCAGTCTGTTTGGCCGGCTCGACTCCTCCGGCTTATTTTGGGGTCCAAAGCGGCACTGCTGGCGCTGGCGATCGTTGAGCGTCGTGACAACCAGACCAGCGAGAAGCGCAAGAGGGAACGACAAGCCCTTCGTCTTGTTTCTCTCTTGATGGTGCTCCTGCTGCTGTTGACGGTGCCGCCTCAACACGGGCTGGCTTGGCTCGATGCTTGCGCGCTGAAGGTTATAGTTTCCCCCCAGGCAAACGTTAGCTAGAGAGGAGTAAGAAGCGGGCGAAGCCTTCACCATCAGGGAAGGCAGGCGCCCAGCCAGCCAGCTAGCATCCTCTCATTCAACCCATCCCAGTAGCGTTAGCGGAAGTCGGGACTGCTGCTGGCGCGGCGGACAGATCCTTTCCCCACGATGACGACAACGACGATGACGACGGGACAACTGGCAGTGAACCGACGCAGAAATGAACGAAGCAGAGAAGAAGCAAGGGTTCTCTCTATAGAAGGCTGCTCTTTGCTGACTGCAGCAGCTCACCCGGGCCTTGCAGCTGCCGCCGCGGCCGCTACTGGCCCTAGCGCGGGTGCTGATGTCTCTTAGCCGTATGGTCCTTCTCGCGGCGGCGCTGCCAGTGCTCCCTCAGCGGTTCTTCCCCAGTGACGCATTAAATCCCACGGCGCCCCTTCTCCTTCACTTGCTCCCTTGCAGCCCCTCTGACTTTCCTCTAACACACAGACGAACGGAGAGACAGACATATATGTGGAGGTGTACACACAGGCACACAGAAAAATGTACACACTCTCACGACAGGACCGTCGCCATAGTGGCAGGGCTGGCACATACGCGAGGGAGCAAGCGCACTCAGGCAAACACATCGACTATATGGCTGCACTATAGAGGGCCGCTGCCACAGAAGGGAGCATACATAGAGGGCAACAGACAGGCAACGATACGAACAGAATCGAAGAGCAACACAGCAAGCAACGTTGGAACGCGGAGGAGGCCGAATGGAGAAGCGGGTGGGTTCGTATCGTCGCCGGCCGTCGAGGCGGAAGGACACCGACGGATGGAGAAAGAGATAGAGAAAGGAGGAGTGATCCGCGACGGCCGCCGCAGCCACCGCCACGAGCTCTACGAAAGTCCCACGAGAGCTCCGCCCAGCCGGCGAAGGCAGCAGGCAGCAGGATCCAAGAGTCTGGCCAGGAGTCAGGGGACCAATGGGGAGGTACGGGCCGTTGTGGCAGTGGCGAGAGCAGCGGCGTGCGAGGATGGGTTGGCGACGCCAGGTCGAAGCAGGGACAGGATAGGCAGTGATGTTAGATAGCAGCATGAGCTCGTATGGGCCTGGCGAGTGGGAAAGCAGGCTCATGCTCGATGGCGGTTGCGTGGTTGGCAGATCTGGGGTCGACGCGGGTAATGGATGGACCTTGAACGCCGCATAGCTTCTGCCAGCTTTCGTCATATGTAGAGTTGGCGATAGCGGTGACGGTGGAAAAAGACATCATGGCCGACAGAACTACGGGCCGAACGACCGAGTAGGAGAACAGCCGTTCATTGCCGTCGTCGGTCGTGGTCCGGAAAAAGCCGGCCACGCGTTTAACGCCCTAATGCTACTTTTATTGGTGCCGCCTGCGGAGCTTCAGCGAGCTGCCTCAGCGACTCGACCATCCAGCCAATGGACAGTAGAACCAAAACAAACAAAAAGAAGGTAAAAAAACAGGAGAACCCAGCAAGAAAAGACCAAACATGCGAAGAACCAAACGGGACAACAGTCGATTTCGTACGATCCCGACGAATGCTCGATACAGCAAGATCAGAAAAAGAAAAAGGATGGTACGACAAAGAGGAGAACCCGGTGGCGGGGTCGAAAGCGCAGAACAACTACTCGACAGCAGATGCAGACCCAGCAAGATCTCACTATCCGTTGAAGGAGCCATGCAACAGAAGGCGGGCTGCATGTTGTACCCACGATATCATAGAGGCAAAGGCGCCATTACTAGTCTGCTAAACTCTGCCCAAAGTGACGCAGGGCTTCTGCTGCACGCCATAGCCCGACCCTCACATCGGGGCAAGTTGGGCGAGAGCGACAAGAGCTAAGCATTTGGTTCGTATGCCCCACTGCTGGAAGACGGCTGGCATTGCTGGGAACCCCAGGGGCTGGTGCAGACTCTAGAGGCAAGCGAGGGAGGAGATCCTTCCTGCGAACCAGGGTGCTCGAAAGCGGCAACCGCTGCGGCGCTAGAGACATCAGGGGAGGGTCAGATTGGACTGAGCGGCGGACGAGACGATATAATTATTGTTATGATGATTGCTTCTCAGGGAAACGAAGCGGTATTATGGGACGCCAAGGAAAATGGGAACGCTATGGGGACACGCAAAAGAGAGCCTCAGCGTCTTGAGGCCTTAAGGCCCCGGGCCGACGGAGCAAGAATCGGCCGAATAGAGGGACTAAAAAAACCCAGAGGCGGACAAGAAGTAAAGACGCCTGGGATGCGGCGATGAAGCTGCGGGTCGAGGTGACTTGGGGACAATCGATGGCTCCAAGCGAGGCACATACTAAAGAAAATCACACTAGTGAGCTTCTCGTGTTCGCATTCCTTGGTTGGTTCAGGAGGTTTGCCCGCCGGCCGACTAGATGACAGAGCGACCGGCATACTTGGAGTAAACGCGCTGGGGGACCCGAATAGTGTAGAGAAATAATAGAAGGATAAGCCATGTCGAGAGGTCGATGGTCTCACAACGAATCACAACCGAAGCCACCGTTGACTGGACGATCACAAGCTTCCGCAGGGGCCTCGTTCTTTCCTCCCTTGCCTTCTTTCCCTCTTGCTCCTACCCCGAACCTCTTTTTCCGTTATTGTCGGTCTTCTGGCTAGCAGGACTAGCAGAGGCAAGGCCTGCAACGGGCCAGGATAGAATTAACGCCAAATGAGCTGCTTGGGATTACCAATCAGACCACGCTAAGGCTCCAACAACCAGACGACCCCCGAGTTTCGTCAGCGTCGCCGTCGAACCGGACGATGAAGCGATAAACGTAACGCGGTCGCCGCGACCGCCGCTGCCGGAGCTAAGCGGAGCAGAACGGTGGCAAAGAGAGAACCAGCAAAAAAGAGAACCCCATAATGGCATTGGCTCACTGCATGGTAACCCGAGCAGCTTAAGGGGAGATAACCAGCGAATCAGCAAACGATACATCGCTCCAAGTACTGAAGAGTGAACGAGTCAGCCGTACTCATTAGCTACTAGTCAGGGGTTCGTCGCCGGCAACATTTGTGAGCGACTGGAAACGTGAGCCGAGTACGTGTTTGTGTTATGAGTCTGATTCGTTCGAAGGTCACAGCAGTAGTAAGTACAACAGCAATTGGCCGCTGCTGGCAACGACGACGGTAGAAAGGATCTGCGGCCAGTTGCGACCATTCACATTTGTAGCGGGGTCCAGAAGGCAGAGAGGCACTCATTTTAGTGTCGAGAAGATCATTATGTTGGTCATAATAGTAAGCGCTTCAAAGTGAAGGCTATCATTATTTCTATTACTATTATTATTACTACTACTCATGTGATCATATAAACGAGAACAACGACCAAGACAAACAATGACTAACGGAACTAAAAGTATAGAATATTAATGTTCCATAATATTCTCTATTACACGTTTTCCTTGTCATTGCGAGTCCCTAAAATTGCAAATCGTCCACTACGGACATAACTAGCTAGCAAGATATACGTCGGATAGGGCTGAGTAAATCGATAACAATATTACTTTTATGATGCTGTGCTAATTACAGGTATGGTTCAAGAATCGCCGAGCGAAATGGCGCAAGAGGGAACGCAATGTGTCTGCTGAACTGAAAGGCGGTTTTGGAACTTCACAGTACAATGGGCTAATGCAGCCCTTCTCAGACCCCCACGATCCGGCTGCCCTTTATCCGTCCTACCCCTCACATAACAACTACTGGGGAAAGGTTCGTGACTAGATAAATTCATTAGTTTATCACTTGTCAGATATGGCTGTGCATTAGGAGAAATTATAGACAAAAATTATGGAAAAGTATCGAATCATCGTTTAGCAGCAAAAAAAAATATATGTATTTCTATTCCTTGCTTGTATTGCCATGGGATCTGTATCTGTAGGTGTCAAGCCCGCTGGCTCCGAAGTCGTTCCCGTGGGCGTTGGGCCCGGCACCCGGTGGAAGTCCCCTACCGCAGGGCATGTCCATGGGCTCGATGGGCTCTTTGGGCGGAATGGGTGGTTTCAACAGTTCGGCGGTCACCTCCGTCCCTCCTTCGCCACAGAGTGCGGCGTCTTCACTGAGCACTGCCACCTCGCCGCCAAACGCCATCACCTCAACCACACCCACCGCTTCCGGTTGGTCCCCTGTCTAGACACACTACTTTGTGTGCCATCATCATCATTTAACTAAAATACTACCAAATCTAGATAATTGTATTGTCTTTCACTGGGCGCCAATCTGGGATGTGCCCGATGTGCGTTATCTATTTATCAAGAGTTTCCCGTCTCGTATAACATAGCGTAAGTAGCGATTGCCAACGGCATCGTACGGTGTGAAACGCGAATTGGTATCAGTAAATAGCAAACACTGTACCCATAACGCATGTCATTAATTCAACTTCTAGGACAAATAAGGCTCGGTACTTCACAGGTGTTTCTACTGAAATATCAGTAAAGTACTGCCTACACAAAAAACCTCATCGTCTATACTTAAACGAATGTTCACAGCAATTAAGCCAATTTCCTTGACGTGTAACAGTTATTTTTCTAATTCAAAGGCATACAATGGCGTACCTGAAGTGACCCAACTGAGATTCCTTGAGCTTATGAATGTCATTCTTCAAATACAATTGAATAGACATCTATTGACCCGTTACGCGATTACTCGTTGCTCAAATCTAACAATTTACACGGTGCCCTCCCAACAAACTTCAACCTATTCCTATAGGCTACTCGACGCCAACGTTACCCTACGCGTATAGCGCGCACCCGACGGGCGGAGGACGACTCGGCTGTGCTGTCCAAGATGGCCAAGGACTTTCTGCGTCGTCGGCATTAGGCCCAGCAAGTGCCTCGCCTAACGGCAACCACAGCATCTCGTCACTTCGTCTTAAGGTAAAAATTGAACGAGAATCACATTAATACGTTGAATTGAAGGTCAAAAGTTATTGTTTCATATGGTAGATTGAACTCACTGAATAAGATACTTGTCGGTTAGCACATCGACCTGTTTTCCGTGAATGCACCTAAAATATATAGAGCGTATGCAAAACAAAGGCTGATTTTTTTTCTCGGTATGGTGTCGCTTAACTCTACTATTGTTTCCTAACCCCATTACGGTTTCCACAACGATCATACTGTTTATGCGTTGCAGTCATCCCCGAATTCGTTCCAGGACGGGAAGCCGCTGGGTAGCGGGGGCGGAGGCTATCCTTCGGTTGCCTCTCCGTATTCACCTTCGTGTAGCACGTCCACCTCCTCGCCAAACACGACGCCCACCCCGAGGGTGACGCCGCTATCGCCTCCACATCTTGCGCCGCCAAGTCAGCAGACAGCCTATACTACCCCGTCAAACAATTCCAGCAGTCAAGCCACTACTCTCGCAGATCCCAGCACTGTATAATGAACGGCGATAATTTATTACAATACGATTGCACAGCACACTCAACAACAACAGTGACAGCAACCGCTAATACAACAGAACACTAAAAATTGCATATATATATATATATATATATATAGAAGTATACATACACATGTACTTAGAATGGGCCCACTATAGACAAAAAGCAGAATGTACGAGGACAGTCAAACACAAACGCAGACCAGTTCTGTTATAATATAGATAATAGTAGATAAACTGCAAATGTCGTAACGGGTTAACTTCGGCAAACGTGCCACGCCCAGTGATATGATCGCAAGCAAAAACCTGCTTTCGTATTGGCAGCATTTCAAAATGCATGGCGCCGCGAACTATAGGAGCGAAACGCGTGAGGCCTGTTCAGACGCTCTCAGTTCGCCGACAAACCCAATCAAATAAGAAATGGCTGCACGCGGCGTCGCCGTTCAATCTCAATGAACCATGTAAATGAGATTCCAATCATTCGCCTTGTGTATCCGGCGCTGCTTGCGACTAGCTACGGACCCTTGCAACCTTGTAAAAGCCATTTCATAGCTCAGTGGCGAGTATTGCGTAATAATTGCATCCACTCGTGTCAATATGTTTATAAATAAATAGCCGTCTGCAACTGTGACGGCGTCTGCAATTCACTCCCCCCAACCCCATTGTTACAGTGGGAACATAAATATTTGCAGGATCTGTAATGCGATAACTCGTTCTGATGGCCGCTGCTGGACAATGCATATCACAACAAACAAACGTAGAAAAGAGAGAGCCAAAGCGACAGATGGCAGACCAATAGCAAAACCTTTTTCTAGTCTAACCAGCGGCGGTCCCTCTTCGAATCACAATACGAAGAAGAGAAGCCATCTTGCTGATGAATTTAATTGTTTGTTTTTTCTTAGATTTCCTAATGCAGACGAACGACAAAGAATCATAACATAGCAGACAACACCAGATAAAGAGCGAGAAATGAGCAAAATACAAGGAATAACAATATTATTATTATTATTCCTATTACCACAACAACAATTAAAACAAATCGTAATAATCGTGACAACTCGATATTAAGATGATTGCCACAGCCCGATGCCAAAGAAATCAGATGCGTATAGAACCGAATGGCAAGGAAAGGGCATTGTAGAGATTATTGTAGAAAGCGTATCAGAGGTATATCTTCCTTGGGATAGTCAAAAGCGTTTGTAAGGTCTATGGAAGAAAAAAGCAAGACATGACATGCCGCTACCCGAAAATAATCCCGCCATTTCTTTCGATCCATGACCAAATAATGATTTCCAGCAAGCAGAGCGCAAGCAAAAAAGACGAAATAACAGCGACAAAGTATATAAGCATGAATGAAAGCCAACAAAAGGTCCGGAGCCGACGAAGATTGAACGCTCATATCTAAACCATACATTAATCTAATCATTATAGAAAGGGTCCAGTATACACGCGGAACAGACAGGGAGATTTGTAAAGGCCTGCGTCACGGTCGAAAATAGACCTGTTCGTAGTCAATTGCTAGTCATGCTCCTTATTCAAACGTGGGCCCTGTTTATTTTATATGCTACGGAAAAATTGTAGGGCGAAACTGAAGAAAAGAACTTGCTGCTTTGCTACTGAATACAACTTACGTGCGGGTACTCTTTCTTAATTCGGAGGAAAGAATTACGGCATCGACAAAACAGCGTTCTGGCGCATTCATTACGACGTATCGACATGTTAAACCTAATAACAAGTTCGCGGCGAAATCAGCCATCCAGAAATGAAGGCACCACTGAACTATCGATTAGCAATTCAAAGAGAAAACAGGCCAGTGGTCTCCGTGACTGCACACTGAGCCGGCAGAAGCAGACAGATTCGTTATATGGCAAGTTTGGCCTGCTGTAAAAGTGACTACCACACTTACGGCTGACCACACAACCAACATTGATGATGTATGAATTCACACGTAGAAAACGCATTACAGTCGGGGTACGCAAGGTAGACTATAGAAAGGAAAAAGGGACAAGAAAAGGCATTGAAATGAAGTTTGTAGCGACGCAAGCTTGTCCTGGATTCAGTGCTGTATCTTCTTGAAAGTATAATAGATTTAATGTGGCGATGCTAAGTTACCAGGACCCTAAAATTAGTCAGTAGCAGACTGACTGATGACGTAGAGTAACGGTGATGAGCTTAAATGATAATGCAGTAAGAAAGACCACCAGCCCCATTCTTGACCGACCCAACTTCTTTGACTTTGGACAGCCCTTATACAACATATTTCAAAATGCAGACAGAACAGTAACTCCCATCAACTTAGTGATAACCAACTTTCTATTCGATTTACTGATGATATTAACTGAGAGATCGACAATTTTTATCAATAACATGAATATTGCTATGAAAATGATACCCTAACTCTCATTAGCCCGTAATATATGGGCACACTGCGGGCAAAGTAATGAAGTGGTACCGCCCCGCCACGGCGCCTTGTGTCGTCTGCCGAAACGGTACATAAGAATAATACTTAAGGTACATTTATAGATGTTTGTGGATTAGCGGGAACAGGGATGTTGAAGAAAAAAATAATTAGACACGTAGGACATATGGCGGCAGCTCGTTTGTAGATAGTTGTTTAAGTCAGCAACAAACACCAAAGCGAGCTATATATATATGACAACTATGGAGCGTTTGAGGAAAGGCAACTTTCTAACATCATTTAAAGTAACATAGAATAAAAATAAAAAAAATTATGAAAATATCTGAATTACGCAGCGAATTGAGAAGCAGGGTCACTAAGATCATTGTTTTATTAGAACCAAGGTTCATAGGAAATGGTTCGCAAAGTCGAAGAACTCACAGATCATCTGCGAAATAGCGCACGCCTCGAAGAAACAACATAAATTATATCACATTGTCATTATTACAGGGCTGCTTGCTTGCGCTATGCAGACGACGTGCCAAAGCAAGATAACAACAAAAACAAGATATAAAGACGACAACAGCGCCGACGACGACAAAAGCATAACGCAATAACAATCATAGATCAGCACCGGTGATCACCGCCACCACTCATTACACCAACACTCCCGCCACAAATCATGCTAAGAATTTAACATAAACGACGATAAGAAATTTCATTATTCAATTATCGTCTGCGAATTCTAGAAACGTAAAACAATGTCGTCTGCGATTGCGGATGAACAAAAGGCAGACGAAATATATGGCATAGGGCAGTTGTAGACAACGCTAGCACATTACAACAGCACAATAGCATCACTAATTCCCTCAACCTAATTAGGTGAAACAGAACTTTGTGAGTCAGACGCGCACACACACAGACACACGCACACAACACAACCATACAGCCGGTTGGGCAAACACCGGGGTACATGTCTATCAATGTGAAATGTCCACGAACTTTTCCATCCGACCACAGCGCCGTCCTTCATTCTCGACCATTGGCATCGTTGACATATGATATTCCATACAGCCGCACTTTCTTCAGTCATCGTCCAGGCCACCGGCCCAGACCGTTAGGACACAACTGTCAAATCGCGGCCACAGGAGGACATATCATTATCGCTAGAAACTAGCCATATGTATCTGTTTTCCAATGACCGAGAACTCTGTATAGTTACGATCTTCTGTCGCCAGCTGTTGGTTTGGCAGACCGGTTGTCTGGGCACCCTTCTGTCTTCTTTCAATTGCAAATAACCATTTCTCTAGCATACGCATGTGTCGACGGGTCGACGAATCATACAAAGTAACATGGGTGTAGAGGTCGTGTTTTTTCAGCTACGGCAGGCATTATGACTAATGATGAGATTTGACTAGCTTGCTGTAACTAACCGAGCAGTGCAGAAGATCAAGAAAGGCGAAACATATTCTACTACTACTATATGCGTCCGTCTGAAGCAGCCCATTTAAACACAGCGAACCGCCATAACCGGCGGATCCTAGTATCTCGCCATGGGAATCATGCTACAATCGAACACACATGGTATAAGACATACGAATACATAGATTCAGGCAAACCACACCGGAGAGGCAATTGCATATTATTGTTGCCGCAAGAATCGGACATCCATGCAGAGCGGTTCGACGGTAGGAAGTTCGATATTTAGAGTCTTGAAGGAGTGACACTGCTGTTTGACTGAGCCCTCGCCCCGGGGGGTGTGTTTCATTCCCTGACACCCCGCTTACTTCCCTTCCCGAAATTCCCCAACCTGACGGTGTCCTGCGATGATGTTGTATATAAGCTTGTACTGTGCAGTTAGAGACATTTAACGATTGGGGCAGCGTAACTGAGGTACATATCACAGATCGTCAAATCCGATGCTGGAGAGTACACAGAGTAATTAATAACAATTATACTACTAATAATAATAATAATGATAATAATAATAATAATAATAATAAGGATAATAATTTATGACGCGAATGATAATAATGGTAACGAAAGAGAGGCGAATGTCGAAAACGAGCGGGATAGCAGAAGGTAACAGCAAATGCTCCAAAGATAAGACAATACTTGAAAGACACGAATCTAAGTCGGAGGAGGAGGAGGAGGAGGAGGAGGAGGAGGAGGAGTCACGAATATAGACGAAGACGAGGACAAAGAAGGACGATGAAGCGTGAGAAAGAAAAATAAACTATGATCTAAAATTATTTAAAAAAATACGAGCGCCATCTTTGTTCCAGAAGCGGGTAGAATGAACTACTAAATAGTACTACGCTACTGGAAGCCCTAGAAGTAGAGGGGTGATTTTCAAATATACGTATATTTCGATTGGCGTTATTCTTATCTTTCTATACAGATACATATAAATCAATCTGTGTAAAATAACAGTTGTAATTATATAGGAGACCAGGCGACCCCGTTAACTAATGGGTTCGGCAAAAATCATGCATCATAGAAAAATTACCTCAGCTGTAATCTCCCAGGCGGATGACGAGGCGCAAGCAACGCTGTTCAGCTTCTGTGGGGCGTAATCAGATTTCCGTTAGGCTAGCATGGTCCTTTACATAAATCTCATATCCGCATGGGGCGCTATAGATGGCAACTTGGGTATAATACCTCGAGAAACGTATTATAAATAAACATATTATATACACTATGTGAATAACATAGGTGTTATATCAATCGGCTGAATGCAGTTAAGCTATGCTCTCATTGTCAATTAATTGTACCTTTTACTCAGGACCTAACTACCCGAGCTACATAGGCGAACCATTTTCAAGTTGGATTCATTAGTTTTATAGATACGATCTAAGAATCTTAAGCGGTCGCTTGAGGTAGTATTAATAAATGTATTATTTTTAAAAATTTGTTGTTAATGTAAAACAGTAGTTAGAAAAGTATCAGCTGAAGTTCCCAGTGTTCGAATTGAATAAAATAGGAAATAAAAGCAATGGATGGTTCGGCGTTTAGAATGTGAACGTCCCGATACACTAACCAGCCGTACATTTTCGTCCGTACATACACCTATAACCCTGATGGTCAAATGAGGCTTTACAAATACTACAATTATATAGAACACACCTATTATGTATCATTTATTCTGTTCTGTTGATTTTGTTACTGTAAACGTCGTTGTGTATTGTCGGTCGATGTTAAATAACAGCAACTTAACGCAAATGTATCGACCTGACATACATTTAAATACGTTTAAATACTAAGTTGTTGTTTTTTTTTTTGGTTGAGGCGGTGTTATAAGCATCCTGAGAGCATAATTGTTATACTTTTTTTCCTGAAAATTACGCCGGTTTTGCCCTAAACTATTTTGTGGTTTTCCGTTCTTCATCTCGTTTCCTTTGTCGGTATTAATACGTGTAAAAATAGACAATAGATTTAAATGGATTGGATATCCTTTGCCACGATAGCATATCTAGTATAGGGGATGGCATGGTCATGGTGTACTGTTGTCGCAATGATAGCAAAGAAGAGCTGGCTTGAAATTGACATTTCTCATTTTCGGCTTATTTTTATTGTGATTAGCGTTAAAATCGCGTTCGGCCGGACCGCATCGGCGGACGCGGCGTCTGCTGAAACAGCAGCAGCAGCAGCAGCAGCGACAACGAATCCCTTTTTTTGCTTCGTATATTTGTCCTGTTTACCGTTGGCACCTGTACGCTTCCGTTCGCAGCTCAAGTACTACTTCTTCTTAATGTAGTTGGCGGTCGCCGCGGCCGCTTTGCTGAAAGATGCGGACGGGCCGGGCAATATCAGATCGTTAATTAGCGTCAGAACATACTACTAGAGATAAAGGACTATAGCCACAGTGAGCCTCGATAATTGAAATCAAATTTGGCGCCAAAACGTTCCAAACTTAGCCACCTGCCACCAATCTACTTTATGCTGAGTTGTGATAGCGAACGTAATTACTAATCGGTTGAGCCCTGCAGCATTGGCATTGGCATACGAATGAGTGTAACCGTAACGCCCAAACGGCTGTAACATATACCAATGTGTACTCTATAGACAGGATCGTATAAGCTGATGTGCTATAGTACACATTTTATAGCCGGTGTCATGGACGATAATTAGCTAGGGCTTTAGCCAAGTCAATAACTGCCAGACTGTTCTCCTCCGTAGACTTTCTCATTGAGCTATAATATATGCTGGGTAGATTTCATAGCTATAGAGACAGAACATTTCAACCAGGCTTGTACTAACGAGTTCGTCCAGTTGCATCGGAGTTTCCCCGTTCAAGTTCCTTTTGGGGCCTACCTACAGCTTATTATGCAAGCATTGTTACATACCACTCAGGAACGTCCCGGTAGTCTTCGCAAGTAAGCGAGTATGGGGACACCCCGGTGCCTGGTCCGCAGTTAATGAGACGGGGCATCTGGTTTACGCAGGTGATGAGTTTGGTACAGTCTCCGGGATGAAGGTAACGCGGATAGGGCTCGAACTTAGCGGAAAGTCCTTCTGAATAGTCGGGGCAACGGAAACCAACGATTGCTATAGATTTTAACAAATCGAAATAAGAGTAGTATTGAGTTTTTACGAGACACTGGTTTGCAAATTCGGAGATACTTGTTGTAAATTGAATTCAGGAAGCAAACAACGAGGCAATTTGTTGTCTAGGACTGACAAAAAAAAGTAATCAGCTCCAATCTTTTGACCGTACATTACAGGCGTGCATCTGCATTAATTAGTAGACTTATAATTAATTGATGATTGAGCATCACACTCCGCACTTCTAAAGAACTTAATTAATTAACAGGTCATAATTCTAATGCGCCCGGCAGTTAGCAACATGTCCTAGATGCCTGGCTACCAGGGTCACATTAGGCATAATGCCTTGTTTGTCTCGAAAATAGACCTTAGATGGAAAAAGTGTGCCGTACATTAATATTTCAGTCTTACACTCAGAGTCGCATCCGTCAACGAGGTCGGGCCAGTTGCACGTTTTTGATTTGTCGTCGTAAGCGAGGCCATGCTCGCAATCCTTCACGTATGGAACTCCGAATTCGCAGCGCACGTACTGCACACAATTGTCAGCCGGGTATAGACCCCATTGATAATAGCAGCCAGGCGAGGATTCTGGAGGAGGAACCTAGTGAAATGGAAAAGTTGTCACTTATGAACGTCAGCTGCGCAGACAGAGTGAGAGCCTTTTTAAACTGATATTCAAGTATTGACTTAATAATGAAGCGAATCATTGTCGCCGTCGATAAGAATCACTGTCCTATGACAAGCAAATAATATTGCTTATTATCTCCTAACTTGCAGGCCATTAAGGCAAATGTACCGAAAGAAAAAAACCCTTCGGTGATGTTACACTGCAACAAATCAACTTAACTCTCTAGTTACCTGTAACGTCTGCGATGCATACTAGAGTTAGCCTGATTGAATCTAGACGCGTTATGAATGGGAGATTCAACAGAGATTATTCATTCGAGCTCGATGGCGGGCATTCGGTCCAGTCGAAGATTATGGCAATATCTGCTTTGAAAAAACAATCTTTTTCCTTTTTCATCTATGGTCGAGATAAAGCCAGTAGTAGCGCTTACATGTATAAAAATCGCCGCCCAAGGCACTAGTGTATTTTTCGTCATAGTATCTTTGTTTTTCTATTGCCGATTATAGGCAACCCATCACTAGCGTTTCGACTCAATATAAACAATGTTGCGTCAGCCGCTTAGCTAACAGCGTAATAGTATTGTCTAGGATGGAATTCGCTGACAACTATTCATTGAAGCCGGCCCAGCTCCTTCAGCCGACATTTGTCAAATTGTCTGGTTGCTTTTTTTCCAGTTCGCTTTCGTATTGACGCAAGACAGGCCACGTTCAGTCATGACCGTCTTTCACGGCTGTGACCCGTTTAGTTGAAGTCGTCATGATAACAATCGCGGCGTACGACGCACGCGTGATGCTTCCTGTTTGTTCGGCTATGTAGTGGCATTAAGATGATATTACATGGACATGTATCTATTGGATATTCAAATTATTTGACAAACGGTGGCAATGAAAAACATATTTGCCTTCTTTTTGCCGCAGTCGATTTTCCAGTTGAAGTCGCAGAAGTCATACGCCCCTCCGGTAGGGCTAAATACGAGGCCATTCGGGCACTGGGCAGCGGTTACGGTACCATTCTCACAACGAACGTAACGATCGCACTCGTTCGGATCTTCCCAGGCGTGCAGGGCAACCGACGGACAGTTGTAGGGCGTCGGCGCAGGTCCTATATCCAGGCCGGCCGCTGGACAGCGATCGCATAAAGAGTAACGAAGTAGAAATTAGGAAATAGATATGATGGGCAAACACCTACTCATCATCTATTCAAGGCGCCGTCGGCGAAATTAACTAAACCAGCACAAGCGTAAAGCCAATCATTATGCATCAGTTCCTCACAAACGAATGGGGGACGGGCAGAAATTTGGAGCTAAAAACGTGTTGGCAGGAAGTTTGTCAGGCCAAATAGTCGAACGGATATTTTGATATGCTGCTACTTTATGGAGCAGTCAAGCGTCTAAGGAACTGGCGCGTGGTAGTAATTCATTAACGAAATATTCATATTAACGCTGACAAATGCCTTTGCCCTGTGCTGAAGTACCTACATGAGACTATATGCCGTTTTTTAAATAGAATCTCTAAATTAATTGTGCTCATTCTATAGCCCCGTATTCAGCTCCGTTTGGTGAACCGCACGAGCACATTCATTCTCCCATTCACAGAAATACATGGCGTGTATAAACCTGTCGTTTATAAGAAGAAAAGACTCACATCTTACTACGAAGACATTTTTGGGAAGATTGATGTTCTTTGGCCAATGACAGCTAAAATATAATGTCCCCGCGGTTACCGAAGGTCATACATATTTAATACACACAAAAAGCTCCGTCGAATATTCAAGCACGATGTTTAGATTCGTTGTAACCTATCATGACAAGACTCGACAGTCTTGTTGGTTCAGCACATAACAGCACCTACGTAAGAGATGCTAGTAACTGCAAATGATATATGGAATCGGGGTACCCTGTTGTCTATGGCACTATCCATATGTGGCCTTACTTTTGCCAAATCATAGGCTTCATAAAAGGACAACACTATGTATGTATATATATTGTTCCCTTGAGAACTGTGCTGTTTGTAGGATACGTTTATACTATTTCTGGCCTAATATTTGTGATAATTTAGTACTTTAGACCAGGAGCGATATGATACGTCGACCGATAACGCCGACAGAAAAATCTTAGCATCAATTGTTTGGCTGGTTTTGTTGCAATGATAGTTCAGGGATAAATGCAGATGTTGAGTATATCCGCCAAGAAATGCTAACCCCATACGGTAAACCTTAGCAATGCTGTAAAAACGTCTGCTGTAAGAAATTTACGTCAAGAGCCAATATCGATTTCTTACAACAATATGAAATTACCAAATACATACTACCCCTACAACATTTCAGCTTTGATACTTGCCAATGTAGAATGAAAAAGAACACAATATGGTTTATGCTTTTATTAATAAATAAAGAGGAAAGTCTTTAGACATCAAGTATTTCCACGGAACCGTCTCATTTATAAAGGTACTCATGCCGATTTGGATTGAGACGAGCCAAATCACACGGTTAGACATATCGCCTAGGTTTTTGTACCTCTAGACGTACCACGTTCTGTTTCACCAGGAAAACAGGAAAATAGATTAAACAAGAGAACCTATCACTTTGCCGATCTATAAATAAATTCACTTATTCACGCACAATTAAATTCACTTATAAAGGGTAATCAAACAAAGTTCGAGTCATAGGTAATCGAAACCTAAAATAACCGTCACATGTTGTCTCGTCTAAAAGCGAGGGTCGTTGCCAAACAACCTTCAGGGGAAGCCAAAATTAGCGCTCCGATATATCAACATAAAGTAGTTGTACTTATACACGATGCGGACAAAATCACATTGGTAAAGTATGTAAATACATAAGCTAAATTCCAGCCTCGTCGGCCTCAGCCACTCTGCCGTGATACGTCTATAAAACGTTCGTTTTTAGCTTAACAACAATTCGATGTTTACGTACACTCAACTTAGGTGAAATCAGTGTTGATCTTCGCTTTTCTACTAGCTAGGTACCTGTCGAGCTCCAATAAAACATAACGCGGTCTCAAGCTTACCCAAGCCAACTCTAAGACTGAGGAAGCGTTCGCCCGAAACGAGTTTCTTACCGACACCACTATTGCATCGCGTAGTGTTATTAAGTGAAAATAAAGAGCCGGCTATTCTCATCAAGATCATTAAGTCACATATAACTTCAACAAAACAACATACAACCAACCGTAGACCCCAAGAGGGGCTGCTGCGATTTTCACAGTAGTGGCTGTTCGCTATTCAGCATTGTGTATTTGTTCATGGCTCGTCAGTGCATGATCCGCTGCAGATTCTAGGAAGTTGAATATTGTCACCACAGAACAAAATTTGGGGCAAGCTAGTAGGACAAGTGTTAAATAACAAAGGACCGTACGTAGCCGCACTGTTACTTCTGTAATTGCATAAAACATGCTTTTTCTTTTTCTCTCTTTTTTTTTTTTTTTTTTTTTTTTGTTTCTATCGAACACTTGTTTTGTTTGCCTTAGCGTAGCGGTGTATTGGCATTTCGCCCCAGAAATGTACGGTCATCCGCCTCCTGCCGAAAGCCGGTCATTGGCGGACGGCCGGACCGAGTTACCAAGGACACAGTTCTTCTCAGCAGGTTTCTCACAGGGGTACACCAAAGTCAGCCTGCTATCGTACGACAATGATTGTTATATTAAAAAAATACGATTCAGTATCAAGATTTAACGATCAGGCCAGATTATGCTGCGCTAAATTCCAGAAGTGTGTATATATAGGCGACGAGAAATACAGATATTGGGCACTCTCCCCGTTCCGAGCGGTAGTCTCTTGAAGAACTGCAAAATCGTCCTGCGATTTTTTATCAGTTAGTTCCTTTTACAACGGATTGGCCTAAGTGTTTCTTGTCACATACGCGCCACATGGTGCTGTTATTACGCGCGGTCCTTCTACATGCAACTATAAGCAGTATATGCTTTTAGCGAAAAAGCGTACTATTAAGATTCATTAGGACACTTAAAGGATTATTCTGGCTCAAAAATTGCCCAGCTGCATCGTATTGATACATTTATCAGGTCCTAGCTTTTAACTGTCCAAGAAAGCTGAACATCATTAATGGTGGTGGCTCAGATCGAATGTGTTTACCGTTTTTAACGTTGAAATATAAAATCATTAAATTAGCAAAGTATCATTGCAGAAGGTCACCATCAGCTGCTCTAATAGTATCACCCTCACCCAAGATGCTCCGAAAAATAACAAGAAGAACTTTTTGCGAACTTCGAATGTTAACTCTCGCACGACTTATAACCGCAACCATGAATGGAAGATTGAGCACAATTTCACAACTTATCGTATCCATATGCGCAATACACGTTCGGAAGCGCACAATATGGTTCAATGATATCACCTCAGACTTGACGTTCATCACCTGACGCCCGTGAACTCCTTGACCGTCAAGGAGTGCGTGGTCGTTAGACAGTGTTGACGTTTGATCTACACACGACGCGCTTGAGATTCAGACACGTTCATTCTTACCAAAATACGCCAGGAGAGCCGCGGTGAACAAGACGATCATTGCTTCTGTTGCGTGTGGGCCCCTTTTGATTTTTTTCGATGGGCTGTTTGTTCGTTGTGCCCAGCGGCGTACGGTGGCTATGCCGTCACCCGAAGCGCTCAGACACAATCCGGCTGTGGAAAGGATGCAGTTAACGGAAACTGTAGGAGCTACTGAAGCCAATGGTTCGGCGAGAAGGAAGCAGTCAGTATTGCTGAACTAATGAAGGGGTGAAGCGAGTTTTGCCAATCGGTTGATTCTGCGAGTTTACCATAACGAAGAGAACATGAAATGTTACCGTTCGATCAGACTTAGAAAGACAATCAGCTAACGATAGGTGGAATAAAAATCTCTTGAGCCTAACCCCCATCTAGAATAAAACTCAATATTGTATAGTAGTGATTCGTTATACGATCGTAGTGGACATTAAGTAGTATATGTAAAAACTAAGCTGATTCCCTAATGATTTTACAACGAAGCCTTCTTTGATGAGGTTTAAACTATTGCTTTTTTGTCTCGATGGTTGGACAAGGGCAAGAACACCGATCGATTTAACAAAGTAAGGCAAAGAATCGGTATAGTGCCGTCATCGTTGTTTCAAACAAATACGCAGAAAACGGAACCCAAATTTAGCACAACTTTTATATTGTGACAAACGTAATAAAGTTGATATAAATACATTTTGTTTCTTAGACACTTTTTGTCCTGCCACGTTTTGTAAATGGTTACTGTCTTTGAAGTAGAACTGTGCTTGTGGAGAAGTCAAAAAAAACAGCCGATGTCTTTTGCTTTCCACGATTTTTCGCCGTGGACGCGTGCTACGACCTTGACAACGACGCACATATAGCGAGAACCCAACCGATAATCGTCGAAGTTCGTTCTGTCGCGAGCAGCGAAGCTTTACTTGGCGTATTAGATATGTGTGTATAAATTTAAATACATCAACGTGTATTTTTATACATGTATAGTAGTAGTAGAAGTAAAGATGGATGTGTGCCAATTAATCAATCGATCTTGTCCATTTCTTCCTTCAGGTATGCTGATCATTTCAGTATTTAGCAGGCTAGTCAACGCAGGCCTGACACTACGAAACATACGCTTTTCAAGGATGCAAAGTATTGCATGCTTGCTGCAATCAAATCAACTTCAGACCGGCTTGGGTATGAAGACTAAACGATTTAGCCTATGTTGATGTTTTTGTACGTGTGCCTGTTTGAATGCGGGGTCGATTAGTAGAGGGGGTTGATTGGTCGCCTAACTACCGCGCTGTTAACTCCAATCTGGGAAGGAGCCAGTCTAGAAACATCTTTTCTGAGGCTCTAGGAGAGTTTTTTTTTTCACTGAAATGATACGTGTATATATATATATATATATATATATATATATATAGCGTTGCCCGTATACTTCTTCATATCCTTATCTGTTCATCCGTAGGATTCGTTTACGAAAATTAGAAATTTTCGTACTAATACGAAAATTTTGGAAAAAACATCCTAAAACAGCTCCATATGGTCCTGTTTTGAGTAATGATTCATGTGCTGGGTGCCCTCAACAACTGAAGGATTAACCCCGATTCTTGTGGCACCCTATGCATCGAGCACAATAGATATTCGAGTTATCAGAAAATATTAAATCGTATAGGTTTATTACAGACAGCTTAAATCATCCTTGCTTCGACATTACTGAAAGCAGTGTATTAAGGATAACTTCGCGGCTTACTTCACGTCGTAGCTAAAGCGTTACTGGGTTACGCTTTCCAGTGTCACCACCGCTGGTAAATTTTGCGGTTCGTAAAACCTGTCATAACAAGAAAAAGGAATAATGTTGTCTGCTTCCGAGTCATACGCTAAAACGTGCGGTACATCGTTTTAGTGTAACAATTGTTTGCTATAATTTTGTATAGAGCAAATGATGAATCAAAACTCGTTCGTTATGTCGCCATGTCTCAGTAGCTATCACTCGAGTGCAAAAGGGCAGATAGGCGTAGGATTGCGCAATTGAGACCATTAAAGTAGCACATGGAACTCAGCGTGAGGTACATGAGGTATATGGTATTCTTAAAGGAGTTGAAGAAGTAAAAGAAGCTGACACCTACCAACCTACATAGGCGACGAGTGTTTTTGCTTACAAAAACCTTTGAAAAACATACGCAGAATATCCTGCAAAGATCTTCGTAAACATCTGTACATACAGGCTTCCTTTTGAAAGTGTCCTGATGCAGTAGCTTCTGTAACTCAAAGCCTAGTTTCAACTTTTGTCGTCAGGTTTTCGCTTTTAATTTGCTAACTGTATTATAAGAATATGCCAAAAATGGTTACTCTACAACCAACTGGTAGTACGAAAACCATAAGATAACCTTGTGTTATGAGTAGAGAGGTTTATTGGTCATTGACATTGACTTCGCCCGTTTCTAACAACCCTGCAAACGTTGAAAGCAAGGCCGTTTAAATCTCAGCTATTGATTAGTTCAGAGAATATTGGGCGCGAAAAACAAAAGACTATAGGATCTACACAAAGCCTAACTTCAGTATTTCTTTCGCATAAAAATTACATCCAGAGTTCGTCCTTAGCATGAAGGTACCACAGCTTACGATAACTCTAGCCTACATACAAGTATTCCTGTAATGCCCCATTGACCCTGAACCCGCATATTTAACTCGTTAGCCAGGTATTTTCAAATAAACGTTGGCGATGACAGGCCACAGCTGCCATGTGTTTTGAAGGCTCGTATCTCTAAAGTGCACCATTTATTAACGCATCAGCTTCCCTGGAAGGAGAACTATAATTTATTTTTGGGGTGGAGGAAGCGTCAATGATACACATCTGATATTTTTCTGGTGAGAATAACCGCGTTAACTGTTAGTACTACGACAACACAACCCAGGATGGTGAATCCTTTCCATTTTGAAAGGGATCCCACTATTCCGCGGTCGGATCTTGAAGGCAAACGCAGGAACAGCTGAACAAAAGCCATGCCTCCTGGTATGAGCATAAATGCTTGTTAGCAAACATACGTGAATTGGCCGACATCAATAGAGTAGACTGATTGAGTGATGCTATCAAATAAATGAGAAGTATCATGGTACGATGGGTCTCGAGCTAAACGGGTAGCTGCCGAAATCACTTACCCAGCCATGGTCTCAGGACGAGGACGGCGTTTGCCAGCAGCCGAGGCTTGCTCTGTAACTAAAACTTGCGCAGTTCGCTGGGGGTGCGGTGGCTACAACGCCTACGGATGTTGAAACATTAGCGAAAGTGATCTGAGTTCGACAGACTTCGTACTGGGCGCCATACACGTTTCGAGCTTTATATCAGGTACAACTATTAAGTATTGCTTAAGGTAGGTCGTGTTGAGGGACAGCCGTCTTAAACAATGCTTAACTGGTGTACCTGTTAAGCATCTAAAATGAGATGTTTATAGCTTACGTAGGTGGGCACGTGTTGGAATACGTCGTAGCAGTTTGTTCCACTTAGGTTCACAGTAGAACTAAGGCGCTCAAACGAACGGTTATAAAGTTTACGTAAGATATATATTACACATGAATCTCTCTGTTATTAATTAAGCTAATGATTTCTGCCATTAGACTCGAACTTCTATTGTTCTCATTCATTCCATTCGGCAGTGCTCATGTCGTAAACTTGTTTGTCGATCAGGGATGATATTTTGATCAATATGACCGCTGCGGGTGGTATTTGATTGGTTTAACCATAAGTAGACAAGTATAGACTTCGATTATCGGGTTCTAAAATACACATTATCTAGTACAAGGACTTGAACGACCAAGTTTCTGAATGAAACAACCGAAAAGTCGCTGGTTCAAAGCCTGCCACTGGGAAACATTTTCACTACATGATAGATCGAAAAAAGAAATAATAATCTTAATTGTCTGAATAACTATCGCATTATGGGCTTAATTATACAATCACATGTTGCCTGTAGTTGGTTATTACGGTCCTATAGTAAATTCTGCCCAGAATATGAGCTTGCTTCGCTCACTTACCGAATTCGGTGTTAGAAGCACACAGCTCTAAGCGCCTTTCCTATTTATTATATATGTTTTCTATGATTTGTTCGAGTTACACTCCAACATCCTTAAGGGCTTCAACATCGACTTGATTACTATGGAAAGCAACATTACTTAAGAATCGTTGTCAGCGCAAGCAGCTCATAACACTACAATACTTAGGAGGCAGTTGGGCGGAGGGGGCTGGGGTTGAGTAACGGTTGTGACCTTTCCCAGTATAATCGCTGCTCAACTTAGGTATGGCTGATGCTCGAGTGTATTTGAGTCAAGAAATGCCCCTTCAGAGACGATCGCTGTCGCCAATCAGAACGAGTTTTTTTTTCTGCCGCTGGTTTATTCGGCCAAAAGAGAACGGATGATTGTATGTTGATATATGATTCTTTGATGTGACGTCTGATTCCAAGATTGATGGTTCAATTATAAGCCAATTTAGTCAAAATCAGGGTTCTCGTTGGCTTTCTTCGCAAGGATCAAAGGCTATTAGCGTGAATACCGTCCTGATCTGTCCTAGGATAGGCATATCAGAAATCTGGGCTACTTATCATAGTGTATTGTTGAATGAAACTTAAGAAGACAGTTGTGGGCATTAATTAATTGAGGACGTCACACGTCGAAGCCTAAAGATCCATATGGACAATGGACTCCATTCAATACAAATTGTGTTCTCAAGTTCAGAACCGCTTGTTCAGAGAGCAAGCGTACTGAATGTACTCAGGATATGTCTAGTCCCATTTTCCAAGATCATATATTAATAAAGGCTCCTCCTCAAATTTGATTACTAATAATAATAATAATAATAATGGTCTAAAGATTCGCGTAGTGGAGTCGTTTTCGTTAAGCCTAACGGTAGCAGTCCTCCAATCCAATTTATCTCTGAGTTGGCGGTGTACTCATATAAACACAGAACTAGAGCAAAATATTACGACGACGAGATATATTGGATATATCCAGTCTCAAAGCACTGAGTCGTCTTTTGACTATCGGAAATCTCTTGTTATTGTGTGTGGACTAATTCTGCATTTTTCGCTGAAATTTACTCCGCTAGTAAATTTCTGCCCAAAGAACCACGTCGTTTACTTTTTATAAAGTCAAGAAAACAGACTAGTTGTAAATACAAGAGAAACATCTACTTCTATAAATAGATCAATGAATCATATATCGTTCTATTTTATATAGTCGGTTCGATTCCATCTAACAACATGTCCTAGGTCATTTAGTACAATACCAGAGGCCTCAGGATTTCTGGGTTCCCCAAGTATATCCCGGAGACTTGCGAGCTCTACTCGATAGCAAACTGAGACTAGCAACTTCCAAAAGAACTAAAAATGACTTGAATGAATGCGTAGGCGGCTCGAATCTCCTCAGTCGTTATCAATGAAACGCCATGATCATATTGGTACAACAAAGGGCGCGTACGTTCTATAGTGTTTGTTACCTTCGTCTGTGCATATTTCCGTTTTATATGGCACGATAAGTAGGTGAACATAAAGAGTCTAGATAGTACGGCCGTATTGTGATGTTTTACGTCAGATGTCTGGCTCGCAGCACGAAGCAAAGGCCACGGATTCGTACTTACATCATAATGTATTCCTAAGATTAGCATGCAAGTGTGTTACCCCCTAGGCGATCGCAGGGATATCAAAGCTATATCCGACCTTTTATTTTTATCTTTCATAAACCTATTTTCAGCGTTCTTGTTCACCTTTTTGTTTACGTTTCTTACCCTAACCCACTGCCATGAATTCTGCACCTTGAGCTATTGTTGATGTCCGCATTAGGCCGAAGGCAGTGGTCCTTGGACGTTAAAATCAGCCTATTCATAACTGACCACTGCGAGTAGATTGGCGAATTCATTCCCAGTTGTTCAGAGCTGGATGATGTCAATGAATTTTGAATCAACAAATGCTCTCGCAGTCATTCTAGCTGTGGCAGAAGTTAACAACGGCTTTATAGTCGCTGATCTGAGTTTGCTTACGATGTGAACGAACGTTCTCAGGATCGGGCCGGCATTCGGAAAGAACACAGGATTAGGTTTTATTCATTTATTATCTATTATCAATTTTATTCATTCATTAAGTATAAGTAGTAGCGAAACCAGTACATATGGACCACGGAACCTCTAAGGGCATCAGTGCGCTGGCATACCAGTCTAGCAGTTTCTCTAATACAAGCACAAAGTTGCTAGTTCGAGCCCGGCGACGAGACACGCTCCATTATAAGAAGAGACGTTCTTGTATGACAGAGTGACTACTCTGAATGAAATAAGAAATTCTGAAGTTGTCCGCGAGTAGTAAAAATATCATCGATTCTCCTAGTTACCTTGATGATAGGACTGAATGGCCTATACATAACCCTTAACACGAATTTAAAAATCGATGTCGGCGAAATAAGATCAAATGCACGATCTGTTTTATGCATAGCCGTCCGTGGCGTAATATCAGCCCTATGATTGTCTGATGCGGTTTCGCTGAAGGCTCTGCTAATACCGAAAGCCAATAGGACAAGAAAAAAGCCAAGGCGAAATTCGAAATTTTCGAAAGAGTGCCCATTGTGTTCTTAGAACAGTAGGTTCTGAAAGGTTGAGTTCGGGACACCGAAGTTACTATCGATCGTCGATGTGGGTCTGTCCGGGGTAAACAGATCTCCGCCCAGCGAGGTTCAACGAGAACGCCGCTATATTTAATAACGAAACTTGCCAACAGCTCACCTTGACACGGCTTACCGTGAACTGACCACCTTATAAAAATCTATCTTCTGATAAACAAAAAACGCACGAAATCACTTGCATAGATAGTTCATTGACAAAAAAAAAACACTATATTTTTATGTCCGACTGAATTGTCCTAAGCCATGAAATTGATCATTGTTGTATGATACGTATAATATCTTATTTAATCTTCACAATAGATAATAAGCGTACCAAAGCAGTGAAGTTGTGTCGGTAATCACTTATGTGTGAAGCTTATAAATAAAGCAACCGCATACGAATGTGCTTCGTATACTTACGCATGTGACGTACGTCAACAAATATTCGGCGTGTTAATAAATCATCCAAAGTTGCACAATGCTTGATGGTAGTAGAGGCTATCAGGCAAATAGGAAATGTTAGCGTGCGCACCCCCAACCTCTTATATGTTTAGGGGGTTTGTTGAATTCATACGAATCGCTAACATCTCTCTCTCTAACGGCGCCGAACTGCTCAGGGACCTGAGTTCTTGTTCAAATGGGTCTCAATCAAGCTAACTCTGGTGTACTCTCCTGCTTCAAAGGTTACTACTTTAGTCTCAAAACGAAAAGTTAAATGGCTTATTGAGTCTTAAACAGCCAGAAGGGCGTTTCGTCATATTGAGTAAACGATAATATACAGAATGCCGAGTGCGTAAATCCCATAGATAAGATTAGAGTTCAACGTCAACGAACGAAGGAAATCTTTCGTGCAGCACTTTGTCTTTGTTCGTTGTATGAAAACATCTCGATAATATTTTAAAGCATAAAAATGTATCATCAATAAAAATAAGGCTTAACGGACGTTTAAGTCTGGCTAGGACTTAACTCTAACTTAACTTAGTTCAAGGACTGAAGAGATAACTTCTTAGGCAAATGCAGGGACCTTTACTTGTTTGCTTTGACATCGACTTAGACATGACTTAGATATCGATAATATTTACAAAGAAATATAGGCCGCCACTTCCATTATGCAGTTTTTCATAGCACTGCGTAGGTTTCTTAGCAGCGTGTTTATTTAGCAGACATATCGGGCATAAGACTCTTAGGTTTTTTTGAAGTTAACTACAAGTTAAAGTAAACTTATGAAATACGGTATGCAAGTGTTTGCTACGCATATAGGTTGCATGCAAGTTATATTTTAGGTTTGTAACTTTCCAGTAGACCATAACAGTTGATAGATGGAGATATAATAAATCGTATTAATTATCCTGGCGACTACCTTTCAGTGAACCAACTGAGACTACTTTATCGCGGAGAAATAAGGTCCTCAAGCTGACAGGAGCCCAAAGAAACAACGAGGTAACAACAGGCACTCCTCTATGATAGAGTAGTAGCATAACGGAATACCATGGCTGATTATAGCAACACTTTGTTTCGTATCCTAAGACGTCTCAACGTGTTTCCGGTAGGCGTCTAAAATACCCAAAGGTTTGCTGTCTTACCAGGGAGGTACGATGAGATCGCGGAAAACCTGAAAATCGCACCATAAAATCGCTGAATATATTTCAAAGTGATAATAGCTGGCAATTTCTGTGTTGCCCGAATGAAGTCCGTCCCATAGACACAATTTAAATAGGATTAGAAAATTCTGGGAAGTTGAATGATCCCGGATCGTGGTGTAAGAATCTTACACAGAACTTTCATTCATTTTATCGTGACGAAAATCTTCAATGCCTTACCGAATTAATACTATATATGTACTAAATTAGTTGTTAGGATTGGGGCAAAGCCTTAATATTGATTGAACTAACTGCTTTAACACAACGTATGTGAATAAATAATAATTACTAACGTTCATGGTTAATTAAATATATAAATTTTAAGCCTACGTCAGCAAGGCAATGCAATGCAAAGCAAAGCAAACTTATCAACATTTTGTTTAAATAAAGGGTTTCTGAAATGTTTGCTGGTGACACCAATCCTATTCAGGCGTCCAACGACAGCAGAACCCCACTCGCTGCTAATGTACTCGTTGAAGTTAGTAGGGGGCTGTCAACATTTGCTTGAGGCACTCATCACTCTTTCTTATTAACATTTCATTGGGGTTCTCATTAGGGAAAGGGCATGACATCGCTTTCATTAGCTAGGGTACAAGCATTCTCGTAAATATCAGCGTGTAAATGTCACCAAGGCCATATCGAGGACGAGTATTTCGTTGTGGTGCGTCCGTCTTCTAGGACTAATCTTTCTAACAAATCGAAGTGATGCGATAATTTTGAAAGTTTCTTAGACGAAGTTACGGTCTTACCAGTAGATGAATACGACTGTAGGGGTCTAATTGTATCGTGCAGCTATGAGGTATCAGGCCAACATCATCTTCTGCCATTTTCTCGTATTCATGGTTCTCAGCGTGACCTGTGCTATAGGTCAAAAAGCAGAACCTAGCATGAATTCTCGTATGCCAGTGCATAAAACTGATGGTATCTTCGATATTATCGCGTTACCCGATATCGCTACGCTCATTCAAAAGTTGATGCAAATACCATTTCAGCTTCTCAAGAAAGTAAGTAAAAATTCGACATTATATATTGAGAGAGTTTCTAGTTGAAAAAAGATTTAAAGGGCCATCCTACATAAATGAAATACGAATACGCGCCATGTTTATTATCTGCGACAATTCTAAATTAAGGCCTCTTTAAAATATTTTTATTAAGATAGACAAAAAGCCCATACTCAGGCAAAGAGGATCTCGAAACTCACCATAATTCAAGAAGACATGGATTTCACGGGATTGAGTATATAGAATTGGTGAAGGTGACACAAGGTTATTATAGAACGGTTTTGGCGTAGTAGCTGGTTTTTTTTCAAGTTTTATTGATGTTTTAATAATTCCCTCAGGTAAACCAGTGGGTAATTTTTTTTATTAATTTTAAAATAATTTTTAATAACCATTCGATTAATGGAATTGAACATTAACTTCCAGGCAGTCATACCTATACTAGAGTTACCATATCATATCGTGTCTACGCTCTGGTCGCGGATAGGTTCCGGAACGATCCTACCCGGTATGACACCGATGGGATCTCGGAGTTTATCTACAGGACTATTCGCGGGAGTTATTTCCCGCATCCTGAACATTGACCTTATTAATAGCTACTTCAACGTAAGTACTCGGTAAATAAAATTAAAGCTGATCGAATCGGGTGGGCAACGCTATGCAGCTTACAGATGTTTGGGAAAGAGAGGCAAAGTAATGCAGAAAAAAAACGCATGTATATAATTTGTGTCGAAAAAAATATCCTGGTTCATAGTCAAGTATTTAGTGTATGTATTTGTTTTTCGGATAATTACAGGCGCTTGCGATCGACGAGAAGTGCAGGGAAAGGGCTGCGTGTGAGATGGGAGCTTACGTCATCCATCAGAATCAATATGCTGCTCCCATATTGCACGACGTCTTCAAAAACCTTTTTGAGCAGACGACCAAGTACTGGACGCACATGCAGCGCGGAATAAAGGGAGGGGTCTGTCACAATTACTATCGATCTTGCGTAAGCGAGTTTTTCATGAAGCGATAACAAATTAACTCTATAGAAATCGAATGCCCGTTTTTTAGTATCCATAGTTTAGTCAGCATCGAAATAGCACAAGTCGTCCTTACATCAAGTTGATGTGTGTGATCTGGACATAGCTAAAACTGATAATTCCGGGACTTTGTGGATAAAATTTGGCCTACCGGATTCGAACTTTCTACAGTTAATAGATGTTCGCAAGCTGTGTTTAACCAGTTAGCACAAAAAGCGGCCAAGTCGAAAATGCCCTACGATATTCCGCGGCTAAACTCTTTTTAATATTCTATACTTAAGGCAAAGCTTCGGGCTCCAGTCATGGTTGCAAGGGGCAAAGGTTGACACAATACATCTCTGTGTCGATCCGTCATCGACAGAAAAAATGCAAACGACTAGAGTTTATGTTCTTTGAGTTTAGGTATGCTCCAGTATCGAGTAGACCCAAACTTCAATGCATTGTATGTTTTGTATATATTACTCTTATACATATAATAATAATAATAAATAGATTTGTTGTTAAAACAAAATATTTTCTTATAGATATTAAAAAAAATTCTCAAGACTGCCACTTACGGTTGGCTAGTTGTATCGAGCTACAAACCCAGGAGCTTCAGACGAATCACTCGCAATCGATTTTTTCACTGTTTGTATTGGTTTCAAGAAGCTTAATTGGCAGAAGGGCGCAATGCATGTTGCAATGAGATATACTGTGCAAGTTGAAACCGCTAGAATTGCCTGTTCTTGCAGAATGGCGGTGATGGAAACAAATTAATGATAGAAATAGATTAATTTACTATAGTTATGATTGATGCTTTACAAGGGAATTGAGCCACGTTTCACTCTATTAGTGTGTGTTGGGTGATGTATGTGATCGTGATAGGTGAAAATGAGGGACGCGTTGCCGGAACGCAAATTATCGATAAAAAAAATCCCCGTCTTTGTTTACTTAGGACCGACCAGTAATCAGGTTCGTGACGCTACAGTGGCCCATCTGTGGGCTGTCCACAGACCAAATTTCTGTGCAATCGGAAGCTTGCTTTTGCAACAACTCTAGGGAGAATCGTTTTGACCGGATCGTTTTTTTTTTTTCGGAAAACAGAACCTACTGCGCTTTGGTAGATAGATTGGGCCCTGTGTCAATGACGAGGTCGAGTTTTTACAGGTGACACCAATGCTGCACGAGAATATTTGAAGGCCAATTTGAAAAGTTTCTCGGCCGTTTTCGCGACGACCGAGAAAGTTTTGAAAGCAAACCATGGGTTAGACTGCCTGTTACAGTGAACACGAATAAAAGCGCAAAAAAAGTTATTTATGTTAGGGGATCGAGGATTTAGCCTCAGGAGCATAGTAAAAGAATCGGCAATCTTGCACGCACAAATAATAGTTCTGCGAAACTTCTTCGTTGCATCAAGGTGCTACCTAAGTAAGGTGCAATATTTAAGCAAACTTTTGCAGAAAAGTGTAAACCTTCCGACTTTTTCGTTGATGTATTGTAGTTTACTCTTGATTTGAGGATTTTCGGAACGTGAGTCCAGTTGCTTTTACAAAAGGAAGTCTTATTATACCTATAAACCTCTATGATTCAGTTCTTACTCCCGATATCGCCGTTAGGTATAGCTCCATCGGACGGTTGACTCTCACCACGAAACGAAGTCTGTCTATAGCCGGATTCAAACTTAGATTATAACGTGTGTCTAAAATTAGCAGGCAAATACGTTACCCACAAAGCTACTACAGGGGCAAGCCTTTAAGCCTAAGACACTTTGAGAAGCACCTACGGCCTGGAAAGTATTTTTCAGTGAACACCTTACCACAAAATTTTAAACAGATGGGTGTAGGTTCAAGGTGCCTACGGTAAACGTTGTCGAAAGTACGGTACCCGAATTCTACGAGATTTCTACGAGAATCCCTTGAAAGCTCTTTGCGAGCTTTCGATAGATTAAATTTATTATCAGTTTGCCGTGACGTCGTGTCTTTTAGAAATATTCACCTTAAGACAGGATTTTCAACAACATTTACAATATCGAAACAAGAAATCGGTCAACATATGGAGTCTCCTCACTTCAGCTCGATTTAATAAATATACAGTTCCTCTAGAATGGCACATGCTTTGAACTAAAATAAAGCTTCCTGAGCCGACCCTTGGTTATCGTTTTATCTAACGGTTCTTCGAAATCCCCTTCCCGTATTCCTTCAAAGTCTGTCAAAAAAGCTTTCGACTTCTTCGAATTAGAATATTATTATTATTATTAGAATATAGGTCGATATTTAATGTTTTTTGAACAGCAATGATGGTACGCCTGTTGAATTGGCCGTGAATTGTGAATAGTGCCGATAAGGTTACAGAGTTAACCTTTACATGCGACACGCAGTTTTATGTTTGAGGCCTATGACTAAGACTAAAAGAATCGCTGGCCTCCAAAACAAAGAGCACAAGGTTAACAGTGTAAAAACGCGTGCTTTATAGTTCCACTGTGCTTCATTAACTTTAGCCGTAACCTTGGTCGTACTTCATATAGGGTCTCAATGACGCTATTTTAGAACCGCTTCGACCATGAATGATCGAATGCGCCTCCTCCCCATACACACACATGAAATCCCCGATCCTAGCCTAAGGGGAGCTTGCTTGCGTTCAAGCTCGTAGAAATCCATTAACAATTTTCGTTATCTAGTCTACCGTAGGTTTACATTGCTTTCTTAGTCAGTCCATCTTCCCACTGATTGTTGCTATCTGATAGACCTTTCGCGTGATATGTGCTAGGCGAAAAGTGTACATGTCTTCAAATGCACTTGATGTGTGGCTAGACAGTGTCCCACACAAAACACCACAGAGAGTGTCACGACGTCACCGCGCGATACTTTTCAAGAATAGCAAAAGCTGTAGCAGAAGCTATGACTAGGATGGTCGAAAATCAATCGCATTCTATCAGGTTCATTATGGCGTTTCCTTATAATGATCTGTCGATTAAGCACATGAGAACATTACGCGCACATCGCCGCGCTTCTCGCTTGTCTTGTCTCCATCCTCGATTTTACTTCCTGTATTATTAGCGCACCAACAAAGCCGTCGCCCACCCCCCGACGGAAATTTACAGTGAGAAAAAATTTTACCGCTACACAGAACTGCATCGAAGGCGGTCACCGACGCTAGTTTGGCGTCTGTTACCGTCGTCCAAAACGGTGCTCTCCGATGTGGTGCGAACAACACGTGTAGTTGAATCGATTAGTATGTGTTTTGTATAGGGAGTAAATGCTGATGTTATGGCCTTTTGTGTGGGTCAAGAAAATTGATGTGACTCGATAAGCCCTTCGGATGCTACAAAAGTACACTGGTACAGGGAACAAGATACACAAAATTGGACTGTGCAAGAGAAATTTAAACAGGGAAAAAGAGAGGATCGGCACATTTTGGCCATAGCCGAAGCAATGGCTGAGTACTTGATTGAACCTGTTGAAGAACCGCTTTGGGACTCAGTAACATTGACTCGAACGACGACACCTGGCACCGATGCCGATGACACTGGTAAGGAGATTATTAAAATAGTGGAAATTTTTTGGACATGTAGTGCTTGAAACTGGATTATCTATAGTGCACTTCGATGATATAGGGGAAAAGAGAAAAAAAAAAAAGCAAGAAAGCGAAATACCGGAAATATATTTGTTGTCGGATAGGTTCAGTTGTCTACATGTATGCGAAATGTTAAATACTTTTATAGCTGCGCCTATTTGAATATCGGGTGCTTATGGATATGTATGATTATCATACGACGCTATTTTGTTGTTAGATAACAGTTGTATACGCTAGATGGAATATATAATCTAGGGTACGGCAAAGTTGACAGGTGTTTACTACACCACTCTAATACGTCATTAGCTATAATAGTCTTAACTGTTGTTACCGGATGTTTTGACACCTTTTCAAAATGGAATCAAGTCCCTCCTCTATAAAATATTCCAAAGTAGATATATGATAAGTTGGGCCGTATATAAGAATGGAATTTTTTTGTCACATTTAAATATATACAGATTTGGCCCTGCCTAGTTCCAAAAAGCAGTATCAAAAAAACCGGCAGACGCGCAAAACGTCAGCCTACACGATAGCAGTGCGCGTACTTATGAATTGCTCGGGCATCGCTGAGTATCGAAGTGATTGCCTACACAGACAGGTGAAGCCTTAAGGCTTTTTTTTTGAATTAATACTTCGTATATCGGTGAGGCAATACAAAAATTAAATATTTTTAGTGGCTAATTTCAATTGATTTTTTCCGACTCGGAACAATTTGATAACCACTGATGCCATCTTCTTCTGTTAATACAGTCATTATCTTTCAAGTGGCCGATAAAGGGAGAACAGTGATATGGATAGTAAGCGTCACCGAAGGTCGAATTTTTGTTCATTAGTTCTGGATCTCTTGTCGAGGCTATTGGGCGATAATTAAATTCGAGCGTTGACTCGGATGTTTATTTTGATTTTCGGAAAGTCCGTTCTATAGAGTTTGCTGGTAGGATCAAGATAGAAATGCTAGCTTTATTTTTTAAGCTGCTTTTTGTTAATACAATCAAAACTAAATGTGGTACTCTATGGAAAAGAGCTTTTATCCATGAATTTTCAGGTTAGTATTTAGCTTCAGAACTAATGTGGTTGTTAGTAAGTTTTATAGTCTGAATATACAGAAACTGAAATTAACTTACATGAATATATGGGCAACAAGTGTCAATAGGTCGAAACCACCTTGATGCGGAATAAACCGCTTTTAAGAAGATCGTCCACAATAATAATTTTTGTTTATTGACCAAACCGCGGACAGCTGAAAGTTGGCTACCATTGCATGTACTCTAAGAGAAGTTGCCCCACAGAATGTACTTTACGTACAAAATTGGCATGTTTATTGCGACTCTTGCCTAAAATAGCTCTCTAAACCATCTATCTAAAAATCTCTAAACCAAATAAATAACCAGACTCTCCTAATTACATGTGGAAATAAGAATGATTCTTTCCGGGCTTTAAATGATTGTCTGGTTTTGCAGTAATGGAAGAGCATTTAATGCGAATCCCTTCGGCTATTCTTCAATCGACGCCTTTACACGAACGACCCCCGTCACTGGGCGCATTGCTACCTTCAGCAATAAAACTACCCAACGCGAACCCTGTAGAAGCCGCGACGATTGAAGATCCAAACGAAACGATTCGAGGACGAGGCTTCCTAAAAAGTGGGTTTATGGATGCTGCCGACGAGCGGCAGCCTTTTGGCAAAACTGCCCCTATGAAGCCACCAAGGAAAAGTCTACTCAGTCGATTATCGTCTATAGCTGAACGGTCATTTAGCACAACACCTCGGAAAGCGATAAAGGCAAAGAACGAACAATTTCAGCAGGAACTACCGCTACAGACAGATTTGACTCGATCTGATCAAAATACGAATGATGGTGATGATGATCAAGCCAGCGACAAAACCCTTACAGCGGTATGTGGAACTCTGTCTATTTTCTTTTCTTTTGTCCTTTATTAGTTTTCACTTTGTGAAGTACATACGCTAAGTAACTGATGCAACCTCCCACTGCTTTATTTGCGACGGCATCTTCACGTGCATTCTGGTCTTAACTTGAAGATGTTGATTGAAGCTTAATATAGATTAAGAACTATCCGCATACCTATTACTTCATAAAAATACTAATAGAATTGTAGCTATACAATGCGTACGAAACGTGTGGGCATTTTGTGAAGAAGATCCTACCGATTTAGTTATTATAGAAGTAGTAGAAAATAAAGTTTTGTTATTTGGTTCCAACGTGATGATTCAAGGACCACCAGGACAGTGCTAATGAAATAGATCAGGTCACCGACAAGAAAATAGACGTAGAGGACCAGAACAACAACAACACTCAATGTACCAGTCAGCTATATCGACATACGGATCGTGGTAACGGTGCAGCATCAACAGGCCGCGAAGATAATGAAAAAGTTCAAAGTGGACCGTTCGAGACTGACACCAAGAAGAAGATGCCTTCAAAAGCAGCTTGTGACTGTAAAAGTTGCATGGCAATCCTCGAGCAGGTCTGTTCCTCAAAATTTTTCTCCTATAGAGTTACGTCTAACGCAAAAAAAGTCACTACTGTTATTAAGCGTCGTTTTAGAGAGGGAATGGATGATAACTCAAACTCTGAATTGGTAAGCGTAGCCCACTGCGAAATCGTTTCTATGTCCAACTCGAACACGATTGAATCTACTTAGCGTGGGTCATTCAAGGCTTCTACTAAACACAACTTTAATTTGGAAACATTTCTAGTATCTATTACTACGGGTATGAACACAGCGATCAGTAGCGTGTCTTGCGGACATACTGCTATCAAAGACTGTTAATTAACAGTCACCGCGTCACGCCAGTGAATCTATTTTTGGTGGTCCTAGTGCACAGCAACTGCAATCGGACACGTCTAGTAGAGTGTGACAGCTCTATTGGGTAACACAATGACACCTAATATAGCCGTTAGCGATACTGTATGCAGGGGTTGCATGTTTCGTTACTGAACTAATTCGTGCTAAAAAGGGTCGCTCCGTACGTATGTGAGTCGCCCCCAGCGGATACAGCTCCAAATCAAATGGTCCCTTTCAAAGCCGTAGCCCACGATTGATTTCGTTAGGTCAACGTTAGTGGATTATTGGTAAACACAAGCCACCGCGACTATCAGCATCGGTGCTTTGAACGATTGAGTCGAATCTGCAAGCTAATGTTTAGTACATATGAATCGAAAGATACAAACACCTCTTAAGAGCTACGGAAAACCCATATTCAGCCGTCAACTATGAAAAGTCTGCAAGCAGAGTAATAATACGGTTAAAACGAGTTTGCCCCCTCCATCTAGTGTATGTACACCCGGGAGGACTGTTGAATATCGTTATCAGATCTTTACTGCACATGCGTTTTAATAAAGTATTTACAATAAAATATTTCCGTTTTCCTCTTTCTTCCGTTTTCCGTTTTCTGCTTCTTGAAAAAGGCGGGACACTTATAAATTGATACGAAGCCTTGCTACGCCTAACATCAGTATTTTCTGCTTTTGTGACGACTGCGAAATGTGTTTGTTAAACCATTCAAACAAACGAAAAAGGGCTTTCTCTAATAACAAAAACTTGCGTCTACTTTTAAAAACTGACCCGTGACCATGGTGGTAACACACAAGCTGACCGGCACGTTTAGTTCCTCATCTCCGATCACAAAGACTCAATTGTAACGATGCAATATCCGTTTTCCCAAAATCGGCTCTCGCACTTTGAAAGAAACTGATTTAATATAAAATCAACTGGCTGTGCCGCCAACTTGCTGTTAACTTTTTACCTCACAAATTCATTAACATGTCTGAATATCACTACGGCTTAATTTAAATGGCTTCAAAACGATATACTTTAAGTAAGTAATATTGCGCAAGGTCGTTAGGTTGAATGTTGGCAGAATTGGGACACAATTCTATGCCTTTTTCTTTTTTGGTTAAACCGTTCCTTAGCCAGGAGCGGTTCGGCATTGAAAATCCGCTTAGTTATTAAAGAGATGATGTAGTACATCAAGTTTGCTCATAGGGCTAGTGTAATAATTATACGCTGTCTAAGTAACGCGTATAGCAATAGTAGACTAGTGTTGTTGTTTTTGGTTGATATTTAAACAAACAGCCGTGAATTTTTCCTCCCTTATTGAGAATGAATCGCGTGAACTTAGCAAGCTTGTGAAAATGATTGGCCTAAGAAGTAGAGCAATCCCCAATTCGTCGAAACGTTCCACTATTTCAAGTAGCTAGCAGAAATAATTACAGCGAAACGCAGTGTTTTACCGATGCTCGCATGTTTCCTTTTGGGATTCTTAGCTTAATTCTTCATGCAGACCACGTCTAGGCCTTAATATAAGCATTTATTAATTCTTTTAGGAGTGGTTTTGCGATGTGCCAAGTGAAATATCATGCTCACTGGCAAGTCTCGGTACGCCTCATAGGAGCCTACCTTCGAATAGCGGAGACAGACGTAGTTCTCACCAAGACGATTTCGGCCAAGCGGCAAAAGAGGTGTATTCCGACTATTCGGAACAGGTGTTAAGCTCGCCCCCTACCGAGGATATCGCGAAACGGCCCTCACAAGCCTCGTCACAGAATGCGCGAATCTTTAAGTGTGAGTTCATAGAAACAATAAAGAAGAACCAGCCACGAATTTAAGTATTCTATATGTACTATTGTCGTCGGCGATGGTGGTGTCTGACAGCCGTCTTCGCTTTCGATGCGAGTATGACTAAATTTAATAGACGTCAGTCAATAGCCGTCAGACTCTAACCACGAACGTTGCAAGAAAGAGAAATACCTGGATTTTTATTTACTCTTTATGGATTCACTTTTTGTCTTGCTCATCTGTGCTTATGTTCGGATTTGTATGATGTTTCAGTAAACGACGGGGTTCGTCGCATAGGGAAGTTTTTACGCTCAACACTGGCGGCAGGTGAGCGAAGGCTGTGCGGTAGGTAGTCCAATCATCGGTATATATAATCGATTCAATTTGTTAAAAGTAATAGATATGCCGACTGTATTGTGCTGACGCGTGAATGACCTTGTCTGCATTTTATAGCACTATCGATCATTTCTACTGTACGAAAAAATCTTCGGAGTCATCTTTTCGGTATACTATCAAGGACTTGCCCCTATCCCGGCTGGGTCTGGCTGGATTTACCTGAGGTTTCTTCTATGAATCTGTAGATAATTCTGTTAGTGGTCAAGCCAATAGAGGATTAAAATGGTTTGGTGAACTGTTTTTGTCATACCGTGAGACATGCCCACATTTAGGTCTCGGTTAATTTTTAGAAAGTGAAGATGTACAGTGCACATTTGGGCCAGAGGTAGAGCGGCGATATTATTTAATCCTACCGTGCAAAAAATGCTCGCTGTATTTAATTAGCGCCATTGTTATCTTTCTCTTAGAAGGGGCAATTGTAGACCTTCATTCTGAACATGTTGGCTCCTAAGCTAGGTCTTTCGCAACATTGCTTGCATTTATTATTTTTGGATGCTTTTGCTCAACTCATCATTTAACTGTTTCAAATGATTTTCTGATATTGGAAAAAGTGGCGCTTAAGCATCTTCAATGTAATCTTATTTTCTGCCTTTGGTGTAAGCAGGTTGGAGGTCTAGCAAGGAAACGGACGGGCTTTCGCTTGCGAGCGAAATTTCCTCTACTACAAAGTCAAGGAAAGCGTTTTGGCATACCAAACGGTTCACTGTCATAGGTCAGGATACGGAAACGACTACCACTACAAGCGGTAAGTGTTTGTCAGTGATTACTACATTTGATCTACATTACCCATTATAATATAAACATGTTATTTATGGCCGATTTATTTGTATTTGACACGTATTTTTCATTCGTAGTTGAGAAGTTTCGGTAGTAGATGGTCCCGTTTACGAACAAAGCTCATTCGCTTATAGAGATTTAAGTTGTAACGTTACGCTTTTCACAGTTCCTCAACTCCTCAAGCGCGCCGGACGGATTTCTATCTCTAGCGATGATTACGGCCTCCGGTCGGTTCAATGCGATTCGCCGCTTAGCTTTCATGCACCAGAAAAGGATAGTGAACTACATGACGCTTCGATCACTTCAATCATGGTTGTACTTATGCCATCCGGAGCCGGTACGTGGGGAGCGGTCACGATTATATACTGTAGAATTTTTTTTTTATAGAAGACGTACTTCGTGCATGACATCAGCGACATTTCGTTATTGTACGTTTTCTATTGTTTCTTACTAAACGAACATTATCCGAAATTTCGCAAAACAGACAAATTTCCCTATTTACAGTTCAAGTAACTGCAATTGTTATCATTTATTTGATTAATGCTATTGTATATACGTAGCCGATCCCAATGAAGTGGACTCGCGTGTTTGGCTTAGCGTGACGGACAGTGGTGAGGAAGGCGGGGACCCGCAGTGTCAACTTATAGTACGCGACCCAGTTTTGAAGAATCTGCTCGAAGACCTTAAGCAGGTCATGGTTGACCAAGAGGTAAAATAACGTAAATTTAAGGGGAACAGCTTTGCGGGCAGGTAAACATTCAGGCACATACTACACATAACAGACATGTAAAAGGTTATAAAAGTGCATACAAAAGACGTTCATAACGGTCAACTGCTACTATATTTGTGTTTTTTTTTTTGCTAGCAAGCGTTTAGCTGAAAAATTTTGCCAAGATGTCAGGTTTATGGAGTTGTTGATTCGACTCCGCCCGCACAGACACAACATGTATATTAATACAGCAATATTGTTTTTATAGAAAAAAAAACCAAATAGATCAGTAGTAATTGAAGTATAATGCAGAGGCGTCGTGTAATCGTTAACCTAGCTTTACAACTAGCAACTGAAATTTCAGATCATCCTTAAACAGACATCAAAAGTACTAGATGAGTGTGGCAGGTACATGGGATGCGCAAAGGCAAAACAAGGAATCGTCCTAGCCGAACAGATGCTGCATGTGGCCATGCAAAGGTGAAGACACGAAAAGCATTTGTTCTAGACGCATAGTAGATTTGCACAGTAAAGGCCAAAGATGACGTGCATATGTTGATTTTGAATGAAACCATCTAAAGAATGACTAAAAACTACAATGTTTATCATGCCTTACCCAAAAAAGTAAGAAAACACATGTTCATTTTTGCATAAAAACATCTCCATGTATACTCAGTGATATTCTATTATGTAATAAGATGTAGGATAAAACCTTTCTACTATATATTTTTGTTAAATAGAGCGCCTTTTTCTCGAAAAAATGTCCACTTTTATAGGTACTTCGCAGCTGAGACAGAGCTTCAGTGGTACATCGACGGATTCGAATTCGAGCCGCAGCGGGATCGTGTTGTGGTCCGTGAACTTCGAATCCCTCTTAGAGAAGAGTTTCGTGCGAACGTCGCTGCATCCAAGGACCAGTTTGTGTTTCTGGTGCTATTGAAGGTTGGACATCGCGTTGAGGCATCAGACGTACTCTGGATGGCCCCTGACGATCGGGAAATCGTGGTCAAGGGGTTGTGGTCACATGGAATTTTTAAGGTAATGAACCCCTTCGAACTTATGACTTTCGCACCCGAGGAAAAACTAATAAAACAGATGCATAAGGAAACAATTTGTGATCTATTCAGTTTTCTTATTTCAATATGTCCCCTATTTTAATTACTGATTATCATCGTGCATTTCATTCCGTTTAAGGGAACGGGCGAGCGGCCATCAGCTAAAAATTCGGCTTTGATGGCCAAATTGATGACCAAGTCGAAACGCAGGTCTCCCCCCTTGTGGTACTTAGATAAAAGATCAGATCAACAAAGGCTTGGCGAAGGCCTAGAGCAAACGGAAGAAACCAAAGCTAATTTCGAATTCACCTTTAATCGGTCGGACTGGAAAGTTGACATTGAAATCTATTCCTTCGTGAGTACTTCGTGTGTTGTCAGTTGCTAATAACTAAGAACCTAGAGATTTATCAGAGGTGTATTGCGCTGACAAAGCGTAAGGCTCACTCAGTAACAAATGTAGTTTTAACATCAACAATAACCAAGAGCACGTTATTTATGTTTAAAAACCTGCCTTGTTCTCACAAATTCTGCCTAGATTCATATTAGTGGCGCGAGTTCTACCAGCTGCCACATGGCCTATCAAGAAAAACACTTCAACGTTTAGACGACAGCGTCGCAATCTTTCTTTTATTATGTTCGCCATGCGTCCACATTATGACGCGGTGTTTGATTATGTCCCTAAAGCTGTAAGTAGGCAATAACAACATCGATCAGCAGCAATAGTAGGATTTAAACTGTTCCACTAAGATACTCACAGAGAGCACCATTTGGAGCTCTGCTTGAATGAAGCTCTATCATACGTGACATCCCTTGATTGTACTCCGTTGGGTCAATTACTATCTGTATTTTGTGTCGGGCTATAGTTCGTGAAGCGCGCCAGGTGGAACAGCTCGCTCAATCTGAATAAGCGCAAAGTAGACCGTTCAAATCCGAGTCCTCAAGTCCAACGCAGAGACAGTATCCGGGTTGATTCTGAACGCCATATTGAGGTACGGAAGAGCTCATTTGGCCTTCTCGCTAAAGCTACGCTGTCGAAGAATGATGTTCTTGCTAGAAGGTAACAACAGTTATTCTGGTCTCATGTTTGAAAGTTATGCAGCTGACCTAGTGTATCATATCTAGGTAGCTTTAGCCAGACCTTGTAATCAAAATGCCTTGCATCTGCGTAGACTATAAAATCATGGCTGCTTAGTGTGTACAGCTAGGGCAGCTAACGTCTTGTTATGGGATGCACTATCTTCAAATAGTCAGAACTTCGCCACAATATAGATTCCAAAAACACGTTTAGATGGAACTTCACGTTTTCCGACATACTGTTCTAGAGGCATTATGCACAGAGGTTTTTCGATCCTTATCTGCCTACTCACTAATGAAGTCTTCATTTTAGCTTACCTTAATGGGACTGTTTGCTTAAGACAAAAGTCCTGTAGACAATAATGTGATAATCATTACATTGATCTTCTATGACCATGTTGTAAGATTAAATTATTTGACAGGCCAATTCGTTAAAAATTTAGCATTAGGTTGTATAGTTCTTTCGCAATTTGAAACGTAGGGATCAGAGTGAGCATTTAGTTTTTCTAGCGATTTAATCGGCGCTCAAACAAAACTACCTAGTCTTGCTTTGATTTAAACTCTGTTGGTTACTCCAGATCGGTCAGCCTAATCGGATGCCCGAACCCAAGTCCATTTGAATCTGAATTAAGGATTATTGGCGAGGCACATCTCAATGATACGGTCTACTACGCAGCAGTGTTGGTAAGTGGTTGTACATTACCGGCTTAAATAAATCCTACTGCTAGTGATACTATTTGATCTCTGTCCCATAAGGAGCTCCATCGTTGGTTTTGGCCAAATTGATAACATCTCAACCATGATAATTAAGAGGCTGAAAGAACCTTAAACCTGGTGGAAACGACTAATTCTGTTTTTTTACAGTGAAAAATTAAAATTTCACTCACGTCGAAGGTGTATTTCATAATCTTCATCCAGTTATTACGCGTGCATAATAGCTGATTGAATTTGTTTGGCTACTGTCCGACCGTTAACAGTCGAATGCTGCAAAATAACACACTATTTGGAGACAACTTATAAAAAATATGTTAAGCAATCCCACATACGTCCTATATATAGACATGTCGACTAACTTGCGAAATATATTGTCTCCAAATCATTCGTTTATCGTTTCGATACTGTCATCTAGAACGTCAAGGACTTCACGGGGTCATTTGGCCGCATGGGAGGAATGCGTTCTTGTTTTGCCAAACTCCACAATACGACGCTCAGCTTTTTCGAGAGCAGCCCAACCCTACTAGACGAGGTACGTTGGCTGTCAAACGTAATATGTTTCACCCGGGTCTGTTTCCAGTTTTGCCATACGTAGACTTCGTACTCAGACAACCTTAGCTGATTCACGTCCAATGTTATAACAGATGCTTGAAGTCGCTATCTTGGTGCTTCCTAAGCTTTCAATCTTCACTCAGAGAGTATTCGAAATTACTTAAGGCAAAGCTAGAATAAATATACTGGGATGATCGATACCTTTCTTAATGTGCGCGTATTGAAACAGTAAAGTTCAAGCGAATAAGGCATCTCTACATCCAATATATATATATATATATATATATATATATATGTAAATCTGTGGGACACGATAAGTGTGTCAAACATGATTGATCTAGGAATACTAGGAACTATAGATTCGATATTTACCTAGCTTGCTTGGCAGTTAGTGCCTCTCGGTTTATTGTTCTGTAGAAGATTAATTGCGTTGAATAAATCGTTCCGAACGTACATTTCAGACGAAGCCGCTTCGAACTTTCGATCTGTCCGGTTTGACGGTAGAAAGCCTTGAGCTGGACACAATCGAGGGGCTGTTCTTCCACGGCTTCACCCTTTGGCTACACAATAACAACGTTCAGTCAAATGTAAGCCAAACTAACCGTGAAAAACTCCTACAGCAGACAAAAGAGGAATTCCATCGTCTCAAGGGGTCATCATCGGGTGGTCATGAAAATATCTTTGAGGCTGGCAGCGATTGTTCACTTGGTCCAACTATTGCCTCACCTAAGCCCAGCGCAACAGCAAATCTAACAAACAGCGAAGATACGGGTCCAACTCTGTCAAGCTTTCAACAGCCTGTGGAAGACTGTCTTCGCCTCTGCACGAACTCCCGGGAGCAGACTCTGCTCTGGATAGAACATCTGCGAAGGGCGCTTCGACAGGCACGAGTCGTCGAGCTTGTGTGACTGTAGTTACCTTGATACATATAAACTAAATTATATTTGTCATAATCCATCAGTTATTTTGATACATATTACATGAATTATGATACTCCTCTTTTATGTACGTTGAGAGCCAACAGGGCATAATTTCGAAAATCTCATCAAAGTACTCATGAGGGAACCTGTGACGCACTTGGTTTGGTCTGTACAGAAGCCTTTTGAGTGCATTGTGAACATTTTTCAGACAGACCGTGCTATCGTCGCTGAGGCCATGCCTACAAAGAATGAGCATTTTCACAGCGAGGAATTATATTAGCGAACGTTTCGCCAATGATGTGATGCTTCGAAGATTTGTCTGTAAACTCTGAAATACATTATCCATTTGTGTAGGCAATGTAGCTGGTTGCTGCTATAACTACCAATTTTTGTTACGATAGCTATACTTATTATTGTAACTATACTATTACACGAACAAATGTTACATATGTGGAAAAAAACAAGATCTGAAAGGCTTTGTTTCGCGTTGCTTTGCTATGGACACGATATTGTAATAAGAACGAATTATGTGATTCGCTAATGATACATACAGAGTTTTGCTGGCACACATACTACCACGTCAAATTAATAATTAATTAATTAGCTACAGCAAAAAAACGTGCATGTTCTAATTCGTTGGTGGCTAGTGATCTCGGCGTATCGGCCAGTTCGGGAAACAACTGTGGCTTTGTCAGCGATGAATCGCATTAATAGAGCAAGTAGGAACTTCTATAGCAAAAGACATCCTAGCACAATGATCGAGCTAGGAAGTTGACTAGTAATATGTACAATATCCACTCTATTTGATTTGAAGATTATGTGGAAGCCACATAGACAAACATTAGATTTGACACAACTGTCATTTAACAATAATAAATGTTAATAAATAAAGTGTTAGATTTCTAAACGGAACACTTTCCTTTTGTTTTCTTGAACTGAACTAAGCTGTGCTATTGGCAGCCCCGAAGTAAAAAAGATTTTATCATTATTTTATGTTCTAATGGTACTACTATTGCAATACTAACGGTATGTTTGAATCAAATTTATTAAGGAATTGTCTACGCTCTCAGTCTATATCAAATATACTTCTATATGATTTGGACAACTGTTACTAAACAGACAGCTTTGCTATTTTCACGATCGAAATCAGGAGCAGGAGGAGGGAAAGGAAAGCACACAATTTTAGGTGACTGATATACAGGTAACACAAAAAGAGGTATTTCGCCGCTGCATCGTTTCTGTGCCCCTATTTGCCAGCGAATTCGGGTTTCTACTCTAAGGGTGGAGTGTTTTTGGCGCTAGCTAGGATTCGCAAAGGTATCGCAATATAATAGATGAACGTGATATGAACTTCAACAGATTGGAAAAACGTAACAGAGAAAACTCAAAAAACTACAGACCGGCCAAAAGCTTCTTGGCTTTTCTGCGAATTAAAGACATAATGTACTTATGTCTCATTTGATGTTTCGTGCTGAAATAGATGACTGTTGGCCTTCATTTACACGATAGATTTTCCCTTCAACTATCACTTCCATTAGAAATATAGCTATTTGCTAAAAGCATGCAACATTACACTAAAATGAACAAGCATCAAAATATAGAAGTAATACATTTCGCTTGTGTTAGATAATACTTCTGCGCTCCACGTTTGTTGGCCGTATTAGTTACGTAGTTCTACCAGTTGTCCATATCCTGCCTTATGTCATACAGTCAGTTATTTCAATCGTTTTATCTACTGTTCGTTTACTTCTTCCCAATTCAGAGCAGCCGCTGCCGAAAGTAACTTTTTTCCCTCTCTGAAATATTCTAACTCATGCTTTCTGGGTACTATTGCGTTACGCTTCGCGGGAACCGCACAAGCTCAATGCATTTTTCTCAATTAAAACTGTGACACATACATTTAGCCGGAGCTGTATTAGAACGTTTATCGACCCCCACAAGATTGGCCTTAGGATCGAATTCAGTTCGTTCGTTACGTTTGCGTCTGCTACCGACCGCTAGCACGAGCACGCCCTTTCATTATCCTGTTATTGCTACTACATATATACAGCGGGTATATTCTTTGTCCCACAGGCATACTCACGCACTTCTAGCTACGTTTTTTTCTATGTAACAAAAACAAAATAACCAAGTTATAAGGACTTAAGCCATACTGTCTACATTTAAGTTTCGTTTTTCTTCAGATGAAAATTTCGTAAGGGTGAATTTGCGACCTGGCGTAATATTTTAGTACAAACAGTAGGTTTTATTTATGATCTTATCTGTTGAACCTGTCATGAAAAAGTCTGTGAGACCATTAAAGGGTTTTTATTAATATGTACATATTATGAAATGGAGATATATAATTGCATATAGAAATACAATTGCATACCGGTATCGATTTAGTCATGATTCGTCAGGTTGATACGCATTACTGCTGCTGCTGCTGCTGCTGCTCGGGCACAATTGTTTGTTTTTTTTTTTTTTTAATAATACATCTATCGAGGCCGAAAGAGGCTTTATTTTTGCCCAAACCAAAAAAAAAACGTTAAAATTATTGAAAAATACTGTAAAGGTCGAAATCGATGAATTAATACATTTAATTCTACAAAGCAGTACGTACTTATTCAATCCTGACTTAGTAGGTAGAGCACGTTTCCGACATGGGTTATATACCTCTATTATACTAAGACTGCTGACGATATATGTGCTTAATTAGCTCTTTATAAGTGCGTAAAACTTCTTTATATGCTATCAGATTGTTGACTAGCTACTACTTAGCTTCGTATGTCAACGAAAACTTTTTTCATAGAAACTTCTTTTCATCAGTGTAAATAGAATATTACGTGCAGTCAAGGGAAGCAAGGTAAGTGGTTACATTCAATAACGGGTGTACACTCTAACCATGCGCGATACAATGTGCAGTCCGCGAAACAGTGAGCGCATTGAAAAGGCAAATGACGAGCGCGGTAGCTTCAGCAAATCACGATGGCTCACTAATGAATCCTGCTTGCTAGTCAGCAAGATCAGGCAGACTCGTACAAGCCGGCGCAGTCCAACGGACAAGTCGCCTGTGTCTAGGTAACTCGATTATTTTTAAAAAGGCTATCGTGTTAATCGTAATGATGAATACTTTACAACACCCCCGAAAAACTGACGGCGGAAGAGGTGACGCTATCGAGATCGACAACAACATTCGAAACTTCTCTCCTGCTTCTGTCCTAAAATATCTCCGCAATGAATTTTTACGCGTCCGTATACATCATGGAAGTGACCTTGTGTACTAAGAACAGAAAGCAGTAGGTGAGTAAATTAAATAGTACCAGGCCAATTTTAACACGAGGCGAGGAAAACAACTGCGTCAAAAGAGTTAGTTTCGCGCACAGCAAAAGAGTTACTGCCTTTTCTTCGGGCATTACTAGCATCCTGGCAGCATGCCTTGATAATAGTCTGCGCACTCAACTAGCCTCCACTTAACGACAGAATACATGTTCGGTTTGCGGTGCACTACTCCATCCGGAAAGTGCTTTCAAACCATGCAATCCATCCATGTAATGTTGATCAGCCTCGTTTACTTCAATCTATGCGGAAATGTACCAAACAATATATACTGTTTTATGCGCTAATAAAGGCCGCAATTGAAATACAAGAACGCATTTAAGAATTTATTATGACAGCATGTCAAATATTTGGAAGTCTCTTTTTCGCCATGGTATTAGTGTAGAGTGGAAATGCATTTTGAACCATCTAATTATATTGAATAAGATAATATTTAAATGCTTTATCCAATTAATTGTGTTCTGATACACCTATTCACAGCCATTGCTTGCTCATTTTGCATCAAAATACGATTAATAATAAACAAAAAATACCTAGCCCTTTATGTTCTGAAGATATTTTCGAATCGATGAGAAACTTGTAGTCGTGTCCGAGTAGTCATTGGATACAGCTGATTTTATACATATACATACGTGTATATTATTACTGGGAGAAATAAAACCATAAATATTAGACGTCGTTTATCAACTCGAAAGCGTTCAGTGCTCAATTCGAACACACGATTTTGCAGAAGTCCTAGTGTCTTTATCCGCCAATCAAAAACGCCAAACAATTAACCAACTACCATTAGCAATGGAGGAAACCGGGGAAGAAGTGCTTCCAAATCTAGTTGATGCGCTGGAGGAGCACCAACTAACTATAACTTTAACTCTTAAGGTGCCCTCCGGAGATTTTCGAAACAATGCCCAAGTATACTGCAGATATAGGCACGACGCGGAGTAACCCAACAAAGCATGACAAAAAGAGAAACAATGAAAAAAAATCAGAAATTCGCATACTTTGCGTCTCAGTAAAGTATAAAAGAAAAACAATTTTGCATTTTTTGCTCAATTATCAGCTTATTCTGTCAATAAAGCATATCTATTAACTACTAAAAATTAAAATCAAATAGAACGGGGCATAAACGTTTTAGACCTCTGATCCATGTAAACCTAGAGAACATTGCTGTGTATACTCAAATAGGTCCATTCTATGAGGGGCTTTTATTTATACGGATATGTAAGCGTTAACTGGGAAATTTTGTGGTATTTAGAAAAGAACATCGTTCAAATGTATTAGTTTTGCGCGGGCCAATCTATAAGGCGACACCCAAAGAACTTAAGCAATATTTTACCTGCTATAGAAAGGTGGGTCAAGAGTGGCGATTCCTATTGTTATTGAATTCAGATGTTTCCAGTTCCAAAACGAAGGCTATATTGCAATCGCACTTACTGGCAGTGAACTTTAATAACGTACCATGAAAGTTAATACTTGCAAATCACTTTACGTATCGAGATATAAGGAAATGCTGGTGTATTCAATTTATTTCATCGGTCTCTAATTACTGTTTTGATGAAGCTGATTAATTTCACTGCGAATCTAGTTGATTTATTTTAGAACGTATGCTAGGTTTTCCATTTTGGTGTTTTAAACATTTTTAGAACTTTACTCACATGGACGTACAACGCTGCTTCAAACTGATAACTTCAGTGACAATACGGGGTTTACTGTAGTCTATTTCCAGGAGAAACGACTTCTTATGTCGGTCACTTTGGTTTTCATTATGTCTGCTATCATCGTCGTAAGTACTTACACGCAATCTTCGCGGACAGAAGAGCCTTGTCATTTGGAGAAAAAAAAACATAGAAATAAGACTTATAGTTATTTCCTTTTATTTCAGGATCAGAAAAAGCGCACAAATATGCCGGGAATAAATTCGACCAACTGGCTACCGTGGAATCGCCGATATCGTGAACGTGATGGGTTCCATAGCACAGAAATATCTAGATGCCCCGCACCGTTAAGACCTCGGAAGCACTGGTTTCGGATATGGCTATAATCAGTCGTATGCTCTGTACTAATTAGTTAACGCCACCGCAAAGATCCACGATAACGGCGATACAGACGAATCTGTGGGGTCCGGAGGTCTGTCTTTCATATATATATATATAATTTTTTTGGTGCATCATATCATTGCCCCCGTTTTTAAAATCCAGAAAGACCACGAGATTTCAACGTGCTAAGGAGGTCAATGTAAAGTTATCGCACAATTTTTAAGTAAAGTTCTAAATAATGTTTTCCATATTTCTAAATGTCTTTCCATTAATCTTATTCTTTCAGTTATTGTCTGTCATATGTTGTTTACACTCGTCTGCTTAGAGCATGAATGCACTGATACTTGCTTACGTATTGCTCAAAAAGCTAATAACTGGAGCCAATCATAGACGTACCGGCATAAATGACGTAGTACATATAAAAGCCATTTCGTTGTCCTTTTTTTTTGTGAAACCTTCACTTTGCAAGTGGCATCGTACTTTTAAACTTGTGGTCGATTTGAACTGACGCCACAGATATCGGGTACCTCATCGTAGAGATGAAGGGGTCAGCCGAATTGAAAAACAAACATATCTTCTAACAACTAAAAAGTTGCTGGACGAATTACAAATATTTAAATTCCTTTTTAAACAATAGAAAAACGTAACGACAAACCAGTCCATTAAAAACCTTGTTTGAAACCGGCACAGTATCACCTGCAAGCACAGAGATCAAAGAAACCTTCGATAAACATATTTACTGGGCGGTACTTTTTCTATGATGCAGCTTTGTATGCGCGAGCTGAAGCAGGTAATAATTATTAAGAGAAACATTAAAAACACGTATATTGAATAATTAAATACAACAATATAGTAGTTTATTTCCAAAATCTTGTCATTTAAAGAAAATTTTTTCCGTGTTCGCGTATAAGGCATCCGCAAGTTGGTCAGCGTCCTCACCTCTACAGCCGGCGATCACCTCCAAGACCTAAAGCAGATGATGAGAAATGTGAAGCTTTATAATCATAATATCATTATGTTGCATATATATATAACTACCAAACGGATCTCATCAACTAACATGTACCGAACAGCACTACACATTACCTATTCCTCATTGTCCAGCAAAATATACAGACTATGTATACACGTTTGATGCCGCGCACCGCTGTTTTGCTTTTTTTGCAATCTAAAACTGTAAGGACTTCCGACCGCTCTCAGACTGAACCAAAGTTAGAAATCTGAAGCCGAATCACGGTTCTATCAGTTTGTTGCACTCCACCCGTGATTCCATCGCAGTTATTTTTGCTGTTTCTCTATTGCAGTTTTTCCGTGGCAGTTATCTATTATATGCAGTTAATGCGTTAGTTTGCTGTTTATCCCACGAATCTATTTTAACAGCTCGATCACAATTCTTCTTTAATTTCAATATCTTCTTTTGATTGTCTAGTTACTCTTATTGAGGTAATCCCTCATATTCTAAGTAGTGCGGTACCCTGGAGCAGGCTTCTTATTCTTCTAGTGTCAATTACCCTGTGCGCTCATTCCAGTTGTGCTACGACTACCCCCATTTTTCCTTTGCATTTTCCTTCGCAGTTGTTCTGCTATTCCTCAGTGGCGTAAATTTCCAAATTACCATAAAAATATTATGCGGCTTGGGAAACCAAGCAATTAAGCCATACGAAAGCATGGATTCCTTTTAGAAACGTATCTATTTTTAAGATAAAACATCATATTAACTTCAGAGATATCAATTTTCTTTCAAGGATTTAACTCTATATCGAAAAAAAATCGGTTTCTTCCATTCGGATATTTTTTTAAAGCTATTTTTCAAAATTTCCTAAGGTAATTTTGTTCACTGTACGTTTGAATCTGTGGGAAAGTTGTCGGCACTCTTTTTGCATAAAAAAATCTATCCTAGGTACGATGTTGTTCTCACTCTATTCACCTCCTCGTCAAGCTAAGCCTGTACGCAAAAAAGAGTAAAAATCGTTGAACCCATTTTTAAAGAGAATTGTCTGCACATACGAACACGCATACGTTGTGAATGTCATGCCATACTATAGTGTTCAGGACATTTATGCTGCTCGCCATAGTGGGAATTCGTGTATAATGCTCAGTCAGAAACCCAACCCTACAGGATACACTAAATTTTCAAACACCCTGTACGAACATATAATATATACATCCACAAACTCTTATTCGTTTAGAAACACAGAGAAACAACAGCAATGATGAAGAGTAGTTAAATGAAAAGAGAGCTAAGTGTACATCTTGTTGTTACATTGACAAACGTTGTTGGCAAGCCCATCTTTTTGTTTCATACCTGAACAATATTCTGCGGCTCATTCCTTCCTTTGACTTGTTTACCCTCTTCAAAACGTTCCTTTTTCTTTGATTCGAACGTCGTCTTGACGAATTTGTGTCCCGCATGGGTCGGCTTAATGTCGCAATACGGACAGTCAGTCTCAATCATCAGCCTATCTGATGGAATCTTTTTGACCACCTGTCGAATCGAATATGTGCAAAGGAGTAATTTTTTAGCAGGTAAGCCTGGGTAAGCCTGTTTATTTAAAACTGTTTATTGCTATAATTTAACTAGAACGATGGTCATAAGCCGGTCACTAAAAAAAGGAATTGTCTAAACGATTAAACTTTGTTATTATCTCAGATACAACTATAGATAAAAAACGATAATAATTGTTGTTAAAAAATCGATAACGTACTGATCTAGTCTGCTAAGGTTGGACCCTGAATCAGTAAGGTTAAGAGACGTATCTTTATTGCCTTACTTCTGAATGTTCGATATACCCAGCACAGCCTTGCCACTTAATCCTTCCTCCTTATTTTCGTTAATTGGATGTTGTCCATATTCTCAATAAGTATAATAATTCATTATTAAATTTCCATTAAGAAACTCACCTCAAGATTTTCAATAGTTTTGAGCGAACATCCATTAATACCAATGTAGAGATCCATATCGATATAGGCACGAGCTTGATCCCACGTACCATCGAACGAATGTACAACTCCAGTAGAGAACCTTTTTCTGTTTGCTTGGAGTATCCGTAAAAAATCTTCACCTGAGCTACGGCAGTGTAAGAATAATGGCTTACGAATCGCAACAGCGAGCTCGAACTGGAATTCGAAATACTGCCGTTGAACGTCTGGCGAACAGAACTGCGATCGGTCGTAGTCGAGACCAAACTCTCCTACGGCAACAACCTTTATTGACAGGACAACAAAACTTACCATTATTACGTATGAAAAAAATAATTGTACCGCACAGATTCAACGGCTCTAGAAAGTAGTCTATTAAATTCTAGTAAACAAACGCTATTAGTACACGATTTGCACAAATGCAGCACTCGAAAGTCCCCCGTGCATTTATTCTATAATCGGTCAGTAAAGTGAGGTTACTGAAGCTGGGCTCTAACTTACATTCGAAGAGCTCAGTCCAGCCTGTTAATCAATCGTTTCGAAAACGTATGAGCGTACCTTTTCAGAAGAGCGAGCCAATTTAATAAGTTCCTCGAGGTATTTCTCAGGACCTTGGGAATAGTTATCGAATTCTGAACAACGAGTGGGGTGGCAACCGACTGTACAGTAGAGGTCTGAACCTGTCGACGCTAGTTCCAAGGCCTGCCTAGAACTCTCGAGGCTTCCCCCAGTAATTATAAGTTTCTGTACGCCAACCTATCAACAATTAGGATACATTTTAGAGCGCTGTGTCGGCGTTTGTTTGAGTATCACCTGATTACTTGTTATATTTCAGATGGTGATTTAATATGTATTGTTAAATAAAGAATTTTATAGAAGGTTGAAGCCTTAACTATATATAGTTACGGGCACAAATAAATAATAACTAAACGCTCAGTTAATATTGCTGCTAAAATTGCTATACTACGTATATAGCAAAGTTTTGAAAGAAATAATTCGATAACCATTGTTATTTACTTAATTGCTTTACTTTCTAGCTGCTTTTCTTGGTTGTATTCACACTAGCAAAATAATCAAGTAGACTATTACAAGTACCTCCAAAATTTATGAACTTGATACTAATAAGTTGGAATATTATTATACAAAAACTGTATCGAACTTAATATAAACGACAGTGAAACAACAAAATTCAATCTAATCCAAACAAATTCAAGTAATATCCTTTAAAATATTAATAGGAGCACCTTGAACCAATCCACCTAACCAACAGGTATTGAATATTAACCGTAGAATAAAAACTCTCAAAGATCCAAAACACCACAAGCAAGAGGCCTACTTGTTTCGCACGCTTAATCATGGCCTCGAAGTCATCAGGATGTTTAGTACTTCCATGGTAGACACCTCGAAATACCTCATCAGTGATATTTGCACCAATGTCTATGAAACGGCGTCGCAACATCTTTCCAAGATGGTAAATATTTTTTTAGTGCAGGCTGATATAATATGTTCGTGTAGCGTACGGTTAGCCTCAGTGACGTAAACCTGAAGCTGCTGGAAATGAATCATGAAAAAAATAAGCGAAAAAAAAAAAAACAAAGGCTACTCGTCTATCACGGATCGACCGGACGTTCAGAAAAATTCGAAACTATATTACGAAGAATTGATATTTCAGAACACCTGATTTCGGTAGAAGACTGTCAACCTCCACTTGAACAGATCTGATAAGGCACAGTAGTTTCAAGGTTTGTTGTTTTGACCGTTAGTTCAAATAGTCGCCCCTTCGGTGAAATGTTGAGTGATGAAAATTATCGTATTTATGTCATGAACTATGCAGGCCAGACGTTACGGCTAATGTTTTTGTCTAATACCCTAGGACCCGCACCTACTATAAATTCGATTACTCTGTGGCCTTTGGTTTGGAACTTACTTCAATGTTACTTCGAATAAGTCTAAAACACATGTGTTACGGTACAAATTTCCGACTAGTAAGTTCCGTTTAGTCATCAAAAGGTACCGCTGGCATATTTAATAGACATGCATATACTGTCGTGGACATTTGTGTCTATTAGCATGTACAAGAAGACAAAAGAAGAACTTCATTGGATGGCCACCGGTTCAACAGCTGACGCCGATGTCGCAGTCTGCACTTGTTTACATCGGCATGTTAAGAACAACAGGACAGTGGAGAGCAAGTCAGGGAACGACAACGCTACGTCATTTTTTGTGATTCGAAAACTTTTCTTAAGAAATAGTCTAAACAATGGAAAAATAAATGAAATTGCTTCTTCTTGCAGATAATAAGCAATATATATATATATATATATATATATATGTATATGTATATATATATATTAGGCTCCAAGCACCCATACTCAGTTGTTTACCGTTTGCTGCCTCCCAATCTGTCAGATAAAATGGCTCACTTTATTTATATTTGACACTTTACGGTGATGTAAATATATGTAAAAATGTATTTTACTTAGCATTTGTTTGCCGCTAAACCGTTGGTTGTTTGTGACTCAGGCGAACGTGATGGTTTCAATTTTATATAGAGAGGGTGGATATGAAATTCAAATATGAAATCAGAATTAAATCAGTGATTAACAGATTATTTGATATACTCACCTTTAGTCTTTTACCAATTGTTTACTCAACTGCACTATTATCTATCATAGGTTATGGAACAGTTTTCTGGAATGAGTAGCAAAAGTAAGCCAAAGTGGCCGAAGGAAATGCTGTCTCTTCATTATTTGTATAACCTTCTACTAGGAACTCATCACCTCATCATCTTTATCCAATTAGCTCATGAATTACGCGAAATGCTCGAGTTTTGATCAAGATGAAAGGCCTTCAGTTTGGCTGATCACCTCCAGCCGCAGAAGCAAAGCAGACGATCTGTTGCCGCCAACGAGCATCACTAACAACACCAGCTTCCTTAACATGGGCAAGGGCTATTACCCTTTACTATTAAATAGAGTCAGGCTTTTGACATTGTTAATCCTTGTTCCGTCGTTCCTATCATATCCAGTGTGCTCTTACTGGCAGAGGCATGCAAACATTGTAAAAAAGTCGCTGCTGTTTATGCTGATGTTATGTAAGATGCAATCATCATCATCATCACGGTACAAGCAAAATAACTAATCGCCCGCAGTACACATACAAACACATATGCACTTACAGCGAACCTGGTTTGGGGGAGAGGTACTGACTACATACAGACAAGCTGAATAGATAAACCGTGACAGTTGTCAAATTGTATGCGACTGTGTAAGGACAGTCTGTCAAATTGCCTGCTTTCTCTCGAAGAGAAGGGTGCTTCTTCAATCGTGGCGGAGCGCCAGAAGAATGATGCGCTGACTATGGTTAAGGTTGTCAACGATCAGCTGTTCGATTTAACCGTTGTGGCACGGAAGAGCGAATATAAACCCTGCTTAAATACGCGCTCGGAACGAGTGTCGAAACGGATGCATGTCTACGAAGATTTAGAGGAACAAAGTGACCCGTAGGAACATGAAAACTGGTCTGTATCGTAATGTTTTGTTGTAGAGCGGTGATTTATTGTAGCACCTGGGTCCTCGGCTATTTCAGAATGTGGTGAGACGTACTTTATTTATGTGGAGTGAGGCAGATACGATACTGTGCTGCAAGCCGTTTTGATGATGCGAAGTGAACGAGTACAGTAACTGTTGGATCGCACTGAGTGGCTGGCAGGTTAATTAGTGGTAAATCAGCATTGAAATAAAATGATGAATAGCTCGGAACAGTGACGTATCAGTTTAGTCGACAATGGTATAACAATTGAATTACAGAACTTTGCATATATCTTGCTACTTACATCCTCTGGTCATGATAGTCTTGGAAATGTCCGAACAGTCAAAAAGATTGTCAAGGGAAAAGACCTATACTGTAGTTGAAATCTACAAGTTAGAGAAACAACGTGGGTCCAACTACGAAACGTCCCACAACATCTAAACATAGATCAATTATGTGGACTGTTATTATCCCTGTAATCATGGCCTTCCTTGGGAGCCTTTCAAGCCGCAGGACTATTGTGAGTATGTAATTTATAATGTGACTATTACCGCTGTAATCGACAATCGACTTCCTAACAGACAGAAAAATATGGATCCCAATATTTTGGACGATAGTTGCGACGAGCTGGAGCTCGACCTGGAGGTGTTGCCTTTCGAGATGAGTCTCCTTGAAGCGAAGCTCGTTTCAACGCGATGCTCGACATCGAGTGCTCCATTAGGGGTAGCGCGAGCTCTGATTCTGTCTGACGCTACAAACATCAATAATGCTACACGCTATGCAACAACAGGAAATGTAATCTCTCATGCGACAAAGTGCGAGAAAAGAACTTTTGCTGATAGTGGATTTGAGATGGAATCAGATAGGATCGAGTAAGTAAGGACTTAGCGCAATTCTTGTAATTGCCGTGACACTCTGAACCATAACTGTGTTACAATTTCTTTCAATTTATGTTGTTTATGATTTTATTTTATAAAAATTAAAAAGCAAACGTTGATTTCATAGGGTTGGACTGATTGAGAAGCATGGATGGATAGATATGGATGTTAGTGCGAAAACAAATTAAAAGAAACAATCAAGTATAAGAATTTTTACCAGATCATGACTTGTTATTTTTGTATTCATTCATATACATACATAATCTCTATCCTAATGCATTTTAAATCTTTCGAAAAATTACAACTATGAGGAGCGTTTGTGATAGGGATACCACGCTAGCGTTTATTCACTAAAAATTTTATTCATTTTTAATCAAATGATAAAATAGTACTACAGGATAAGTAAATACCCAGTTAGGGCAACACAGTATATAATAATAATAACAATGGATGTTGGCCCAGTGCTTGTATATCTTTATAGGTATCTCCAGTGATGGTTTTTTATATTTACTAAGTGCGTCACGCTTTGTTTGGTAACAAATGTGTCTAAATATGAAACGAAAAGATACTCAGATTGGCCTTGACTTTTCTTTGGCAACTTGATCGATGGTAATAAAGCTATCTTCGCTGAAATGCAGACACCATCAATAAGAAAATATCTTTCGACCTATATCTGATATAGTATATATTAGATAGCTACGAGTCTGAATTTGACAGATAACATATGAAGACGACTGCCTACGCATTTGATACTGCGATTAACAATGTGTATGTTGATGCTCAACGTTGGTGGTTTGTATCCCATCCCTGGTATCGTTGCTGGTAAAATGCAACTACGTCAGAGGCAATAGCTTACGTATCGGCGCAGGTAGGCAAGTGCAAAGAAAAAGTATAGAAAAAAAAAGAAGATAACTTTAAATATGAAACGCTTAATGAGGTTTTGATGTCTTTTATGTCTTCTGATTAATCGCCTATATCGGTTCATTGACGATTACCTTATGTTCTCGATATCTAAGAACGTAATCTCGTACACAATCAAATGCAAATTGCAGGTCGTGTATTATTCGAAAGATAAACACTCGAGTATTTTTTTTAAATATATTCTATTAACCATCTCGGAATCAATAGCTTCAGCTCATATATTCGTTGTAACCGAACATATTACAGGGAGAACTCTGTTGTTGGTTATTTGTGAACATTCTTCTATAAGCTACTACAAGTTCGTTCAACTTTAATAAACTTGTTCCTAGCTCCACAGATGGAAAGTGGATTCATAGATACAGGTGCCGGTTTAGCTCGGGCTCGGGGTGCAGCAGTAAGTTAGACTAATAAAGATAAGAGATAACCGTAAGACTTAACCGCAAATGCGAGTCCCGTGGTTCCATTGTCTACAGAAGAATAACGAGCTTGCCATTGTGGCAAGTCCCATTGCAGCGAGTGCTAGGCATTTTGATAGAAATTGCAATTTTATTACAGCAATGGTAACGTAGAAAGCATGAAGCAACAAGACGGAGCCCCAGCGTATTTCGCACGATTGGCCCGACGGCAAAAAGATAAAGCTTCGACTATAGTGAATCCGATCTGAAGCACGTTCCGTTCCAATGGCGTGCGACGTATTTACTTCTATTAGCTCGTGTTACAATACGAATATCGCAAGCGGCACCGCCACAGTTGCCCATTTCTTATTATTTTCCAAATAAGTGAAAGTCCTGTACCACTTACGGTACATCCCTTCGTTGTTAATTTGTATTATTTTTGTTTGATACATTGACAAAGTAAGTTCGCTTACAGTCTATCTACTTAAATTATTCGTGCGAATATGGGCAAGGCATAATTTTTATAAAGGATAGCCGTACCATTACTCGTACCAGATCTTGTACGAAATTCAAGTTTGACTGAAAATTGCTTGGCCGTAATCTTAATTCAAGTGACATGTAGCATAAAGAAAATAATGAACGTATTAGCTTTGCATTAAGCATCCATACTTTCAACTGTGGTCCGAGATTATATTTTCGATTTTTTTTTTAAATTTCCTTGTTTCTTCACTTTGCATTAGTAGTTGCGAAGCTTAGTTTTTAGAAAACTACTTACGAGTGTGTATCAATATTGACTAACTAAAATATAGTATATTTATATATATATATATAAAGTGTATATAGGGACAAAACGTTGTCCGAAAAAATCACAGTCGTGCCAGTAGTGGCACTGATGTTGCTACAACAGCGTCGAATTAAAAACGATAGTTTTAATTGCAAGGCGACTCAATTTACACTAAAACGTTATATGACGGACCTCAGCCTTGCAGCTTGATCAATCATTTCTTACATTTTTAATATTAAATCTCTTGGCAATATAGCTTCGATTGTGCGCTAACCATTCGCTGTTACTAATTTTATTGAAAACAAAAATACGTAGCGACAAAAATGCAATTAATTTAAATAAAAGCTCGTTTCCATAACGGCGAACAATATAAGGTTAGGTATAGGCGCCGTAAAATATACGTTGCTTTTATATTTTGGGGGTAGAGAATAGGTGTTAGCGGTGGAACAAAAACTAAAAACAGGTCAGCACATAAAGAAAATTGGCGTGTATTACGCCTAGTGGGCCCTAAGTGGTCTACAATATCATGATTCGATAGCACATTTTTCCAGTCTGGAAGGTCGAATGTATATTTTCACGAGAATCCCAGGTCTTCTAGTTATCTGCGTATCTAGTTGTAGTTATAGAGAAAAGAAAAGCATCTTGTTAGAAAATGTACATCTACTTTATGACCAAAGAAATCTTGACTGCGTTTAGGTAGAGATAGGGTTGTTGATTTCCGTACGTATGGTCGTTAAAACATCATCTTCAATAGCATTATCGCATTTTTTGGAACGAATTTAACGAGCCAGCCAATAGACATGTAGTAAGAATGTATAGCAACAACAATCCAGGACGTGTGATCGATATCTTATTGCCTGCGTGCAGCCTGATGGGCCCATGCTTTGTTATTCTAGATTGCTTATGAAGCTTAAACATTTGTTCATGGTTAGTCTACTTACATGTCTGACTAATCTAACGCTCCTACAAGGCTTAAGCGGGCACAACAAGCTTAAACCACTTAAAACGTGTGTTTGTCGAACTTTTTCATCACATTAAATGCATTAGACGTTGACATATAGCGCGAACATCTATTTTTAAAAAGAGTCCAACTGGACCGTGCGCATTTCGTCACCGAATCGGCGTTGTTGTAAGACACCTCTGTTTAGAACGACAACAACAGCAGCCTTGGCAGCGGAACAAGTAAAAGCGCTACAAATAAGATCAAAAGTTTCGACTTAGGGCTCACAACGCGGGAAATGTCTGTTGGTCAGCCAAATGGTTCCCTTTCTTGATTTAAATAGAAATAACCTTGCAAGACAATAAATAGAGCCAGATGACGGTTGGCGACATGTGACGTTTGTTTAAACTAAACTACAACTAGTCATAACCTTCCAACACTCTAGTGAGGAACTAGTAGGTTTCGTTAAAATTTCATATACAGGACACGTAACTGTTATTATCTACTTATATTGTTGATATTTAAGATAAAAGCAGATGCTAATGGATTTCACCTTTTCTGCGCCGTTAACCGAAGGAAATACATTCTTTATTTATTACGGATTACTGGATAGATCTATTATAGAAGATTCATTTACGAAATAGTTATTTCTATCGTCAGACGCTACAAAACCACCAGTTTTAAGTCTTATAAGAGATTTCTAGCAAAATTATGAAACGTATTGTTATACGTACTGATAAATAATCTCCATGCATTTTATCGGGGTGTCCTAGCTCATCTATTTCTTTCTGTCATGCCCTAACGATTGATGTCAAAACAATAAGAACCTACCAGAAATCTACCAGCTGTTATTGGCCTTATTAGTTCTGATTGCAGCCTTATTCTCATTACACACGTGCAGTTGTAAAATTTGAATTTTCGCGTGATCATTGATCTCTAATTTTTCTGATAACTTTAATACCTTAATTTAAACGTAACTTTAAATGTTATTGACATGTGACTAACTATTGATGTGTTTGCTTTGTCAGTCGTTCATTTAAGCCATGATGCTAATGTACGGTGGCCCTTCATACACGAACGAATAGCGCTATGGGTCGAAATAAAGTTGGGTTGGAGCAAAAATCTCTCCTCGTGGGTTTTTTTTTAATCAACAGACGGACATGTTATCAATAAGTCTTTGGCAAGATACGTTGTTTCTGAACGCTTTTAACCCAATAAAAATCCGCGAAACGATCTAGAATACAACTTAACTGTAGATAATAGAAAACGGAATATCGCACAAGACAGATTACTTTTTATTTTAAGTACTTCTTGTTGGGAAACGTTTATTTGGGCGCTTAAAATTAGACTTTGATAGGTTCAATAGCACCGATAGTCCGTCAATAGCACGGATTGTGAGGAAGACCAATTATTTTATAAGGCCTTAAAAGCACGTTACACGTATGTTAGTGGCTTTAATGAACGCGCAAAGGACAAAGTGTCATTGCCTTCAAGGGAAAAATGCTAGTTCAGATATCATCCAAGCATTTGTTGTATATACCCTGTGGGCTTAGTAGATCACGTACAATTACCACAAACGAACACGATGGACGCAGTGGCATAAAAAACACATCTTTTCGTGAATCTCAACATATATGTAAGAAAAGATATATATATATATATATATATGCATAAAATTGGACGCCGGAACATAAATTGTGAGATAATAAAACACGTGATTATACACATGGTTTCGCACAATAAAGAATACTCTTCGCTTATGAAAATCATTAACAGAAGACTTCTATAGTGGACAAAATCTAAATATAATAATAGCCTACATTTTACACAAATTGTGTTATTTACATTTATATGTATGTTGTTATTTTTATATATTTACATTTATATGTATCCAATGTTGAAACATATACGCGTAAACTTGTATATATGGCTTTATGAAACGCTAGACATTTAAATTAGCTATTTGGTTTCAAAATTGGACATCATTGCAGTGAGTGGTTTGACACTAACAACACTTGAAGTTATCAAATTTGCATAGACATATGGTTCGTTTAAATTTTGTGTAATGTGCATCAAATAATAAAACCCACAGCCGATGAATCTTGCTCTTGGGCATATTCAAGCGTCTCTACTTACTATTCATTGGTCAACGCGGGAGCGTAACAGAACGCTGCATTGACCTCGGCCGCCTTCTATGCATGTTTGGCAATGTACCAGCAGCTACCCAAAAGTACAAAATGCCACGACCCGTGGGTAGTCCTTCAGCAAAATTTCCGCTTAACATTCGCTCGTGAGATGTTTCACCCATTTAGAGCTTCGTTTAGCTGCTGCTCATTATTTAGAGCCTTTTCCCGTGAAGATCACCGAGCGTGTGGTGTCCATCCCTATGCTTTTCTTCGTCTTATTAAGAATCGCCATGTACCTGCTTATCTGCGTATAGATGACATCGCTATCGATTTCCCGATCCTACTAGGCGGAGAAACGTACGTTTTCTATGAACGTTCTCTATTGCGTGAGTGCGCGGTTCGGCTGGCAAATCACAAAAGCGTAGTTAATAACGTTGTTGGACAGAAATGTTATACGATGCTTTTCACCTAATTTTAAGACCTTTGAGCCGCCATGGGCAAATGAGATGGCTAAGGAGTCGTGAATAGAGCGAACTTCTGAGCTCTACCTTTGTAGCGTCGTAATTTAGAGATTTATTTTTCATTTCAGGCAATTCGAGTTCGTGATTAATCGCTTAGGTGAACAATCAGCCAAGGTAATTTCACAATTTGCTCTATACTAATATTTGAAGTTTCTAAGTAATGTATTTCACGAAATAAAATTTGCCTAGGCCTCTTTTCAATCTTTATTTGCGTACTAACTACATAACTAGATCGACGGACACATTTATGTAACTTTGAGTCGTGAGTGTTCGCAGTGTTAATGGTGCAGATGCAGAATTTAGACCTAAAGCCATCGCCACGACTACAAAAGTTGAAAGAGATTCTGAATTTGTAGATTGCCCTAGGCGATCAACTTCGTCCGCGACGAAATTCCTTGAACACCATATGCGCTGTATTTATACATGTTTATTCGGATGATGGCAGGCACAAGGGCTTCGAGGGCCTATTACGACTCTTTCGCGGTTCCTCGAAGCGTCGTCATGTCCGAGTTCGCACCATAATCAACGGATCTATCTGTTTGCGATGCCTCCGCATGATAACAGGTAAGAACGTGATTGCTGATCTGTTACGTAACAAATACGTACATTAGACATAAGGTAACAGTGTTCGCTGACAGAGTACTGATTCTCACAGTAAAACCCTTTTTACGTTGCGAATAATTGCACCCTTAATAGCTCCTACTTAATATGAGTAGGAGAAATAGGCTATTACTTAGAAGCATGTATTTTTTACGCCTGCTTAAAATTTGTTTTGCTATGATATTTTGCTGCGCGCCAATGTTACAGGGGTGCTGTTTGACAAGTTTTTAACGCTGGCGTTATTAACAAAGTTTTATTTTTAAAGAAAAAGGTCACTTTCGCATTTGAAGACGAATGATATAACAATCTAGGGGGTAACCTGTGCTTGTAGCTCTTGTGTTGTAACCAGTTTTGTACATAGCAGCGTATCTGAAATAAAAGCACGTACTATCAACTGTATGCGATGTTTTGTATTTATTTAAGCTGAGGTTGACATCAGCTACATTTAGGCTTGATAGTTGATTCTTTTGTAACAATCGATTACTTATACACCAGCGAAAATACTTTTAAGCGATAACGCACCTGAATTTTAATGATAATCGAACTTCTGATAAGAACCATGCAAACCCTCCGAAGGTAGGCAGGTAATGAATTTGTTTTCGTTTTAGTGATTAAACGGCAATGCTCTCTTTTATTTAGAGATTATCAAGTTACGGCCCTTGTCACACCACTGTCGGACTGAAGTTTCCTTCTTCTTGAGGACTATAGCCTACTAGCTTGCATACCTGCAATCTTGAATCTTTTCTACACGACTATGTAATAACAAGAGACTAATTGTACGCGGTTTTCGTGGCTGTTTGTCACATAAGTTATCCCACAGGCGACAAAAAGTCGCACGCGAACGCGAACTGCCATCTTCGAGTAAGCGGGCATCAGCAACAGCATCTCATTAATCTGTAAGTTGCTATCTATCTAAACGTGCGGCCAACAGAAGCATAAACACCCTGTATTCGTAGTTTGCTCGTCGTCTGCTCATCTCGGTTGCGTCGTACAACGACAACCAAAAAAAATTTGCACCACACATGCGTCTGCAACGAGCGTTGTTCTCTCTTGCATCCCACCGTTTCGGAATGCCCTCTCTTACGAGCGTCAAAACAGCCATTCGTCGCTGCTGTCCATGCTGGAACCGTGAGCAACGAGAGGAGAGCTAACTGGCTGCTGACATGGCGGGCAAAAATGCCGGCTTTATAACGAACTGAATCGAACTCCGGCCTCAGTTCAGTGGGACGTCAGATGACGTTAGAAGGCCGGCGTAGCACCACTAGCATCTAGTAAAGAACGAATGGTTGGGGATTGCCTTTTCTCGTGTGTGGGTTTTTCTTTAGCGCCGCTAGTAGTAAGCACTGTTTGTGTCATGTGCAGTTGTATTCCGTCGTTGTTATCCACAAAAAGCGATCGTGTTTGGTGTGGCGCGGTCGTGTTTGGTTGGTGTTGATCGGTCGTTTGTGCGTCTCGCGGCCGCCTTCAGCATCACTCCTTCCACAAGCATTAACAATTCTTCCGGATACACCCAACTACCTCTTTCTTTTTCATTGGGCCGATGGTCGGATTAGACAGAGTTCCCGCAAATAGTTTTCCAAGTACTGCGAGTAGTAGTGGTGGTGGATTGCCAACGAAGTTGGGCCAGTCTGTTTATTGCTTTGCCGTGTGTGCCCGCGTGGGGCGGCGCCTGCCTGCCTGCTTGCGACATTGACTGGCCGATCCATCATCAGTCTGCCGAGTGAGGCCTATACCAGTTGGCTCTTGTTCCTATCCAAAGAATTGTTGTCCGTGATTGTGCAGTTGCTGTTGCCCGACAAACATCAGCTGCCCACCAGCCGGCCGCCATCGTGGACTCAGTTATTCTTTCGATATTACTGTAGCTGGCGAACTGTGGCGCCGGACTGTAGACTTGATCGTTGGCTGGACATCGTTGGATCAGAGCCTGCCGGAGCAGTAGCTATTGGTGCGACAGTTTCATTCGCAGCAACCGGGTCGAGTCCGTGGCCGGTCAGTTAGTCGACCTGCTGTTGTAAACACTGAGTAGATAACGACCTCGTCGAATCGTAGCTGAATAGTCGTCAGTAGCAGCGGCAGAATTTCGCTACCGAGCAGTTAGGCCGCGGCCGAGCGGGAACCTACATAGCGAAGGCAAACATGGAGGAGCCGGTCATCGATAACGAGCTGCTTCTCGAGGACGAGAACATGGCCGAAGGCGGTGATGAGGTAAGTTTTGACGATTTTTTGTGACGGCTTTGCACTGCCTCGAAACTCGTATTTCGTATTATTGGCGCACATACATGAGTATCGTTAGATTGTATCTACAAATATGTGGTTAGTTAGAGCCAAAGGAAACAGTTTCGTCCATTTAGATCGTGTATAGTTGTCTATTTCCTACATGTTTCACTGTTAAACGATGTGATCATCTTGTTCGATGTGCGGTTTGAGGAAATCTTAAAACAAGCGAAATGGCGCCTGTTGTTTGACGACATTAAATTGAATGTCTATAACTGTGCACGAAGTCGGACATGCTATGTCGTTAGATGAGACGAATTAATTGCGAATTGAGTCCTGAGGAATTTTTGAAAACTTATTTCAATCCTGCCGATAAACGTTAGCTGTATGAAGACATTGACCATGTTCATGCAGGACGGAGCGAATGCTCAATTTCGTTGACTTAATCGGCCTGGGCGTTGATGCGCCATCAGGGACGGGTCAGCCCTCTCAGTCAACAACTGTAAAGTTACCTTGTCCACGGCTTTACCTCCCAGATAGGAATTGATTATAGCTAGGCAGGGCAAAACCGGCTAGGGAATACTTGGCGTAAGATTTCCGTGTTCGGTTCCCGCTGACGACTGATTTGTTGTCGGCCGTGTTGATCAAGGCCAATGACTGAAAAGTCGAACAATAGCGGTTGGGTAGCTGTCTTTACTAACATATGTATTCTTTTTGAAGCCAGCCTAGTGAGAAGATAACTAAATTAAACGAGTAAGATAATAATTAAATAAATAGATAGATCGTTTTAAATCCACAACAATGTTTTAAGAGACCAGATTTATTTATATTGAAATAATGCTGCAATTATCGTTTGTATTAGCAATTAGCCTTGAGATACCAATAAGCACTCTACTCTCGTACTTACCCCAAGTTTATCGTCATATGACAAACTGAAATAACGTATGGGAAGTCGGTACAGCTAAAATTATATACAGATTGTTCACAAAGACAGTTTTTGAGTTTAACTAAGAATAATTCGTATTTACCTTGAAACCTTTAAAATCAATGGTGTAATGGCGACCAGTTGATAGCATCGCAATAATTAAAGAATACATTCAAGATTTTCGCTTCACACAGTAAATGCAAAAAACTTTCTTAATAAGTCTCGTTTACAACTACACGACTTCCGGATAGCCAATGCGTGGACATTGCGGATGACGCACCTCTAGATGTGATCATTAGCACTGGAAAGTTTGCAAAAATGTTACTTTGCTATTTTTCTTAATTTTGTGTCCCTTATTTCTTAGCCGTATAATGATAATTGGAAAAAAATAACCCTGCTCTTGGTTCTTGCACGACATTCGTGTCGTACTAACAACGACGCTGCCGTCGGCGATGTTAAACATTGTTGGAAAACCATTGGCTAGCCCCGATCTAACTGGTTATGCATGCGGAAGTTCCTCCTTTCGCTGCTTGTGAGCCAGCTGCGTGTTCCACCATGCTGATTTGCCATGGGAAAGTTACCGCACATATTGCGGTTTGTTAGGGGGCAAATGAATCTTTGTTAATTTATCCATTTATCACAAAACAATCATAAGTATGACATAGTAAACAACGCATAAAAAACTCATTGGTGATTTAATGCTGTCGCCTGTCGAAGAATGATACTTGAAAACAGGGCATCGCTTTAGACTACAGAGAATATTAGGGCGAATCTGTTGCTAAGTCAGCATTTGGTACTCCTGTTATTTTTTTCTATACTTGTATTACCCTAAGGAGCATTTTTAGCAGCATGTCTTTGAAAACCAGTGTATTATTATTGTAGTAAATGTATATTTATTGGAGACCATGATGGCGAATGATGGTGAAATGGATAATATCAATAGTACAGTAGTAGGAAAAAACGATTTAACTTGGAAATAATTTTGCAGGAGGGATTGGATTCGCTTCGAGCTCGCGTCAAAGAAATGGCAGAAGAAGCTGAGAAACTAAAAAAACTTCAGTCAGAAGTAGATAAGTCGTCGAGCCATTTATCAGAACAGGAAAAGAAAGAGATCGACCAGCGGTCGATCTACGTCGGTAACGTCGACTACGGTGCCACAGCCGAAGAGCTCGAGCAGCATTTTCATGGCTGTGGGTCAGTGAATCGTGTGACTATTCTCTGTGATAAATTCACTGGTCACCCAAAAGGATTTGCATACATAGAGTTCGCAGACAAGGATTCCGTCGAGACAGCAATGGCTCTCGACGAAAGCCTATTTAGGGGACGCCAAATCAAGGTATATTCGTGCACGTCAATTAACCACTGCTAAAAAAATCAATATTCGTACCATGCGTTTAATTGAAGAAATTGTTTTTTTCTGTATGTAACTAATGCTACTGGCACAATACAAGACCTATATTTTTGGCCTGAACTTTTTTTACAGGTTCTACAAAAACGCACAAACATGCCAGGTATTAGTACGACAAATCGACCCCCTCGTGGGCGCGGGTTCCGCGGTCGTGGTGGTTTCCGTGGTGGATTTCGAGGTGCTCCACGCCGCGGCGTTTTTAGGGGCCGTGGCTCAAGGGGTGGCTTCCATGCAGGGTATGCTCCGTATTAATTTTGCAGAAAGCGAGCGAGCCCCAAGGGTTGGATGGAAGAAAAAAGAAGAAACCGAAATTAAAAAGTCGGGATAGTGCTTCTACCGTACATTATATACATATACATATATATGTATATACATAATGTATTATTACTAATTATGAACTGTGGACAAAATATACAAAAAAACAATTAGCCCTACGTATATAAGCAGTACGCAGAGACAGATTGAGAGAGTGAAGAAGTGAGGATAAGCGAAACGTTGCATTGGTGATAGGGTTCATTGACTACACAAGAAAACACAGATGATCTGCAGCAATTCGCCCGCCATTGGCACGAAAAGACCGATATTGGATAGCTACGCGGAGAAATACCGTAGCAAAAGAAAAAGGAAAATTTATTTGAGAACTAGTAGCTCGTCGTGAAGAACATTACGTAAGAAGTAGCGAGGCGAGTACCGTGATACAATATTGTTATTTTTATATAGGCAACAGTGCCGTTGTTGTAATACAACCGGAGAATCATCACTATATATCCGAGCACATAACGGAGGATTAAAGCCGCGTAATTGAAGATCATGTGAGGAACGTGATTCAACCGTTTAACTCAATGGATCGTGACCAACGAATCATTAGATAGTATATTGTGGCGATTTTTGTTTTCAGAGTCAGTAACCACCGTTTTTTTTGGCTGTAGCCACCACCTGTCTGATTCAATGCCAATAGCGGGCCGACTCCACACAACACCATACACGATATTATTATAACATGGAAAATCATAAAGTTAAGGATACTAATCACATCATGTAAAAGGAGCAAAAGCAAGCTTGTACGTAGGACATTACCGAAAATAGGGCGGTGTACGTTTATGCTGGGAAAAGCTAAAGGTAGCGAGGCTGTGAGTGAAAGAAAAGTGGAGAAATGAAAAAAGAAAAGTGAAAAATAAAAAAAGGAACTAGTTGCCGAAAAAAAACAAACCAAAGGCCGTTTTAAATATTAGAAGATAAAAAAAAATAAAGGATAAAATAGAATAAGAAAAACGTTAATCTGAAAGAGAAAAAAGAACAGGAAAAGAGCCTCAGGAATAAAGAAAATCCAGATAGGCCAAGATAATTGAAGAGTGAACCAGAAAGAAAAACCGGCAACAAGAAGATAAATCAAAAAATGCCGCAATCGTGCAATAACGGTTGAAAAAATACGAGAACGGCCGAAAAAAAGGTAAAAAAATGACAAATTAAAAAATTTTTAATATTTCTACAGCTATATAGAAACAAACGAAACCCTTGTATCCTCTAAGAGGAAGTTTTACGATTTTTTTTACAGTATACTACGGTTCTGCACGAACATAGTATCTTGTGCTAGCTAAGAGGTGATCCTTGACTGGCTTTTTGGTTAGTTGCGGAAAACTTCTCATGTCATACTAGCAGAGCTACAAGGATAAACAGGAAGTCAGGGAAAATTAATGATCCGATCTTAACAATCGTTATACTACTAAAGAAGCGTGACAGCGGTAAATGCGTGTTGATTAATGCGTATGTGATGTTCAGCTGCTGCAGATATATCCAAACGGTACAGTTTCTATCACTCCCCCCTTTTTGGTGGAGTTTTACATTGCATGTATGTGATGTTGATAATAATAATGTTGTTATAGACATTAACTTGTGGCTAAAGCCGGCGTTGTGTGTCACGTATAATACACGAAGTGCGATAGAGCTGCATGGCTGGTTTATAACTCGCTCGTAATATCGAGTAGTTTTTATTACCAATTGGAGTTTTTGATCTCATTTTTAATGGAGTCCCATTCACAGGGTCATCTCGTTTCTGTGATAACAACAACGAAAACGCGTATATTTGTACCGCAGATAGGAAAAACAACTTTGTATATTGAGTAAATAGTTGTTTCGGGAGCACGACGGAAGTCAAGTTAACGATCCCGAGTTTCAATAATAATGGGGAATTATTTATACCGTTGTATTATACTCATACCTTTGATTCGTTTGGATGACGACTGGACTTGTTTTTGTGAATATTGTTAGCTGTTTTGCTTTATTTCAATATTAATTGCTTTATTTTAATAGGAATTTGTCAAATACAAATATTATAATGAGCTGAGAAAATCCAACTGTAGAATTTCTCGGGGTGTCAGTGTACGTTCGCAAAGTTATACATTTTATATTTCGCGGACGATTGCCATAAAGTAAGCAGTGGATTATAATCCATGAGGTATGCAGACGTCCCGAGTTATGTAATTCCCTTAAGTGTTCTAGTTTCTGCATTATGATGGTAATTAATGGAAGTTACTTAAATAAATGTGAAAATGTTACTGAAATATGCATACCACAACTGCTGAAACAGCTTAATTTTGAAAATATCCAAAAAACGAATCAGTAGCTTCGAACGCCTGGCCGAACACTTTTGCTGCAATTATAGCGTATTATCTAAAGACTCCAACGGAATGGTAAACAGGAAAACCGAAGTTCGTTGCGAAAAAGGACGAAATCATATATAGCAGATTTCTTTAGTTGCCGGTAACCATCGTGACGTGCTGGCATTAATAAATTTATTACAAAAAAAAATTTCATGTCATTCACAATTTGCTCTACAGCAGTGCATCATAGTTGCTGTAGCAATAATCCTTCATCATGAAGTGTGTAACTTCCCTCGTTCATGGATGCCAAATTGAAAACTGGCTAGACCCCGTAAGTTGTAATTTTTACGAGTTGAATTAGACTTCAATTTACGGGAGGAACCGAAAATGTTATGGCTTTCGCGTCGTTCCCTATTTGAATTTCCGATAATATTTGTATAGTAATCATAACAACTAAATTGATTTATAAAAGAATTAAAGTGCAATTTTGGAGTAATTTCGATACGCTCTACCCTTAATATTTTCAAGAGGGTCAAATATTAATTGTCCATTGCATTGCTTTCCTATGTGCAAAAGTTTATGTAAACTTCTATGTAAAATATTTATATATACCGCGCCGTGTGTGCATCTCACTCTTAAACCGTATCATACTTTCGTCCAGTAATTTAACCGTTCAGAAACTAGAGTAGTTAGCTGTACTCGGTGGTTATACTACAGTGTTTATTGTAAGGTTTTAAAATATCAAATGATGAGAACGCTCGTATGATATCGGACTTTGATTGCGATTTAGGTAATAATGCGCAGCGACGGCTAGATGGTAAAACTGTGCGAAATCTTCAGTCTACGTTAGTACGGCCCGTAGCATTAAATTTGCATCAGATTATGTAGCTGCCGAAGGACTCACTCTCTATCTCAACCGAAGAGGACATTTGACGTTCGATGTTTGCAGTTGCTCGATGTACGAAAGCGGGGACGCCAGCTCTATCCAATATTAGGCAGCATGCTCACACTAGCGGTTTAGCTATTTTCGCAGCGCAATTCGCTGAGCGATAGCTACGTACGAATCTGGCGTGTCAATTGAGCGGATCGTCAAGAATGTCAAACTATATGAAGGAGTAAAACAGGAAGATTGTCAGTGTCCCAGGATACATAATACCCATACTATATCGATAAGATAGCTTTGACTTCCGAATATAAAGGTCGAGAAAAATATAAATAGAAGCTACCGTTAAATATGAAGTCATGACTATGACGACTGTGCTTTCGAAGTATTTCCAGACGGTAACAATCGATTCGAAGACGACGTAAAACGCGCTGTAAACGAAATTACAGCGCGTCCGATGTCGATACTACTAATTGAAGCTAGTTTTCTTGTGTGAGGTATATCGCCTGCGATTTGTAATATGAATTTAGGTAAGGCCAGCGGGAAATCTGCCAAAAACACGTCAGGTTTCTTTACGGCTTTGAGCTATTCTCGTATCGGCGTCGACCAGTAGTTTTTGAATGCATTGATCTTTCCAAATTCAGTGGGCGCATTCTGGACACAACTAGCTATTTCGGCGGGCATGTCTGGCAGCTGCCGACTCCAAGTCTCTCAGAGCACAACAGAAGCTCGCAGGTGCGCACAATCTCGTGGCCACGAAGCTACGAATGTATCCCTACTGGGCTGTATATATTTGTATTTTATATGAATAATAAGTATAGCTGGTCTGCCGCTAATTACTTGATCGCTATTCAGACGTGGAACGGGTCGTCCAGTCCGAAAGCAAGATGTGACAGCAGAATTTAATAAGTAATGCAAAGTAGTACTTGCAACTGTAATCAATATTAATCATTGATGGGATGAAAAAGGCAGGCGACAAGCTGGCATATTCTAGTTCTGCTAGCAATTACGGGCCGTTTTCTCCGAAAAAATCTCCTGAAGGTGTGGGGCAATATAGTTAGAAAATAGCCATTTTTGATCTTGAGTCGAATAATCTAGGTTCCAACGCACAAAAGTGTGAAGGATACTTCAATTCTCCCAGCACATTAGAGCTTCCGGGGAAATAGCAGTGGGTAGTACTCTGAATAAAGGTGAACGAATACAGACAGCCTATTTTTATGCCTAGGGCATAAAGATAACCTCTGTTCAAATGTGATGACGTATGAGAATTAGAGTACCAATAAACTCATTATATTTACTTAAAAAATCTGTGTGTTTATTTCGTTGATTAAATGAATTTATTCGAATATTAGTAGTAGACTTCCACAAATGGAAACTCGCGCATTAACAGCTCAACTAAATTATTATTATTGAAGTAAAATCTCTGAGAATAAAAGTATTTTCTAGATGATGACGTTCTATCAAATGAAGTATGGAAATTTTGCATCTAATACATGTTCGAATTCAGGCGTAGACGTACTTAGTCTCGCATATGAGCCGGTAGTCTGGTAGAATGCCTACAGCAGTTCCCTAACGTAAAATGCAAAGTGATTACATATATGAACCTACTCAATGGGTAGTATTCGGAAGTTCTTCTTCTTAAAAATGGGTAGACTCATTGCAATAGAAATAACCGAATAAAACATTTCAGCATGAAAACTTTTATAGACAAAAAGGTTGGCTATTTCAGTTTATTGGTTTCATTTAATATGTCAATGAAAGCGACTATCGTAGAAACACAATCAGTTCATTAAAAAAATAAAACCTAGAACAGTATTGCATAATATTTCGCGTTTTATTTTTTTCCTTTATTTTTCCTATATTTATTCTTTATTGTTTTGTAACGGCAGTAATAAGCACCTGTTGAATGTTATTAAAAAAAAATTCGATCGTCTACAGTTTCTTGGTTTTTTCATTTTGTGCCCAAACACAGATAGGATTACATGTATTTTAATTCGGTTTATTTAAATTAAAAAACACAGCCATTACGATATTGGCACCTTGTGGTATTACTGTATACTTTCTCGTCACACCTAGTAGTGTTGTCCTACTTTTTTGTGAGATAACAAATTCTGTGTAAGCTTAAGTCATTTTTGTTCTCCCTGTATGTAACACTGTATGTAACTTTTATGTATGTAACTGTATGTAAAGTTTTTATAAACTTATTTCAAATATTGGTTACCTATCCAGACGTGCTTGAACAATGCTTTATCTACAGTGTAATAATTATGGACGATATACTTACTTTTCAGTTGACAATCAAGCTTATAAATCCAGAAAAATCCACCCGGTTAGGCCTTTAGTGTGAGTCTGAGCCAGTTTGAGGATTCCTTGATAGTATATTTAAAAGGAGGTGATTCTGAGGACTTATTTACGTAAGGAGGATGACAAGAAATGCTAAAATACAAATTATAAAAAAAATTATATAAATCAAGCATCGAATAACACGTTATGGACGAGTATGATATTTTCTGCATAGGACACTTTTAATATCACAACTTTTCTAAAGGCCGATTGGCTATAGCGGTACCTGTGCCTACTATTATTACAGGTGAAAAGGGTGCAATTACACTTACACGATTGCCAAACACTGCTAAAATACTACACATCAGTAATCCTTTGCTATTGATACAATTTGTCCGTTTAAATGTGAGTTAAACTTAGGTAAAACTCTGCGACAGCAATGCTTATTTGTTGGATTCAAGTATGCACTTAGCTTATTATGACTGCTAACCGTCGTGTATGTATAGGCGAGATTGTAATTCACGTTGTTGCCGTCTTCATGCTAAAAACTCTTTATGTGTTTTTCTCTGATTTTTAGGCGATCTCGAGAAGTAGTTGCTTTTTTAAAAGTTGGCTGGAAACGGCTCCTTCTGTTGGACGACACACGAGAGGTACACGATGTCATGACGCCTTCTATACTGGATTTTTGCGTACGTGCTCATTATCGTCGCAGGGGTGTTGGACGAAAACTATTCGATTGGTATGTGGATATAATTTCGATTTATGAACCACTGTACTTAGAACTATATCAACTTAATTCTTGATGAAATTTTTTCTATTCGTTTTAAATTTTTATTTTTATAATGCAGCCCGCCCCTCGGAACTATGAGCTGATACCACAAAATGAATGCAAAGGCCATCCAAATAAAGGTGGAAATTTAGAAGCAATAAGTCGCGTCTTATTTGCATTTGTTTCTGAAATTCATAATCACTCTGGCAATCTCGAGGTATCGCCTTGATTCAGTTATGTATTCTCCACTGGGTAGTAAATTCTTCATCTGCGTAGTAATTTTTTTGTTTCCAAATGATTTTTGCTTCCGTACATAATTACTTCAGATAGCTGTTCACTGTTCCTACGTATTTAAAAATGCAATTTCTTTGTTTTTTTGTGATTCGCATGATTTAAATTATTTAGCATATGAATCATTTATCGTTTCAGTATGTTAGCCTATGAGGGGCGTCAGCCTTGGGAACTCCCGATCGACAATCCTTCTTCAAGGATGCGCTTTTTTCTGAGGCGGCATTATGGATTGGATGCAGAACTAGAGTCCATACCTCAGCTAAACAGGTTTACCGTTTTCAGAGGCTTTCCCTTCGACCGTCAAACAACTATCTCCGATGAGGTACATTATTTATTCAAACTTAACGATAGTTCTTTCTCAATTTAAGAATGAGCAAATCTAATTCGCTAAACACATTGACTGAAATATTCAAGGAGCGCTCAAGAACTATGCGATCCCTGCGAACTGAGGCGCACAGCGCGTCTAGGTAGTCTAACTGAAAAGGTTTCTCATGTCCAAGCACAGTTGCTCTCTGCTTTCTTTCTTCTCCGCTGCCATACAAATAAAAGAATATAATACATACTGTGCATATGATATAACAAATTATGCAGAGAAAGATGATTTGGTCATGTTTAGGCAGTTCTAAACTCAATATCGAATATAAACCAATGTCGTCAAAAGCAGAAAACACGAACATGAATTCGTGTTATATTTTCTTGTCGAATTTATTCGACCAGGGTCAAAGAGAGAGTTGTCACGGAAGATGTATCCAAGAACGGCGAAACGATAGCGTCTTGCGGTGCATCCTTCGGGACTACGATGGACGTTACGACCAAACGAGCGCACATAAAAACCGCCGTTGGGTAGAAGAGCCTATCTATCAACAAAAAGAACCGCGTCATTCAAGCGAACATCGAAACTACAATTCGGCCTTTTTTCATCGCGGAGAGAACTCGCATAACTTTGAAAAAGATTCGACAAGGTAAGCCTCAGAGCTTATGAGTATTAGCAAGTGTCCTGCCAACCTCTTCGAGCCTCGCCTCATAAAAAGTAAAGCATAAATTAATTTATTTTGTTTCTAATAAAGTTTGCACAGAGGATTTATGGTAGTAGATTCCATGTCTACACTATGCATACTGACAGCATAAGCACTTGACTATTGCCGATAAATGCTAATTATGTTACAAATAACTTAATAACAATATCTTATATAAAGTCATTGGTAGAGACAAGGCGATTTTAAAAGCGCAAATAACATTTCAGTAGTTGTTTTCTCTTGAGTCATCGAACTTGATAATGTTGATTTCTCCTTGTTGCTCCACATCTATTAATTGATTCATCAATTGCAGCTGGTGTTGCAATCAAGAGTACAGTCAACGTATGATACGACAATCGCGAAGCGCGCATTTGCGGATGAGAGACAATGATCTAAGGACAGCCGGACCCCGCTCAAGCTCGTGGGTGTTTTTCGATTCAGTTTAGTAAAATGAATTGAGAACATTATTACGTAATCGGTGACATGCCTTGCTTGACGACCGTGCTTAGGAAAGCTTCGGCACTTTATTTTTAGGCCTTTTTTTGTTTTGTTTTTGCTGTTTAACACATGTGCGCGATGAGAATTATTAAAAGCTTAACTATGATGACAGGATAAATTGAGAAATTTACTTTTTACATATAATCCATGCAAGTGAAATTCTGCTGTAGGCTTCGATATGGTTTCAGACAAAGGTAGTCAAGATTCAAAACTAAAAAAAAATGTCAGTATTACGATGTACTAATATATATATATACGGTATACGATATAATAATACGGATCGAAAAAAGACAAAAATCCAGACACGTATCAGAGAATTATTATTATTTCATATTATCGACCAGTTAATAAAAAAACAAACCTTTCTGTGTCTCTCCATTAAGCGAAAACAAATTAAGCGAAAATTGTCTTACGTCTATAACTTTTACGTGGATACTTTTTGTGTATTGCAGTTCTTCATGGCGAGTGCTTGGTCTTGAAGGTCCTGGAAACCTCAACTATCAGATTTCGTAAGAAGAATCGGACGGTCAATTTTCACAAGATTAATTTGCCCAGTGACTACAACGGGCACGTTAGCTGACAAAACAAAGTCTAACTTCAACCTATTTAGTCACTTGAAGGTCTCATTACCGCACATAATGGGTTGCCAAACAGTCATCGTCAGAACATTGCTTTCCATTTTACCATGATGAAAAAAAAATAGAAAGATTCTCCAGGTCGTAGGCATTGGTTCGAAGCCAGGTGATGATTATTGTGGAACTCGGTTCTGCCATTCTCGAATTGAATCCTACGAAGGAAGGTATTATAGGTATAACTGCAGAGCAAAGGGAGGACAGCAGTTTTCATGACGACCTAATACTAAAAACAGCTTTCTATGGCCATCATTAAAATCATCTTCTTTGAAAAAAGCGTTATGGATACATTTATAGCCTAGACGTGTGAATGGTAATCGTCATATACATTATAACAATGAGGACTCAGCTTCTTAATCCTACGCGTGAAGCAAATTGAACTCAGTTATAAATGTGATGTTTCAAATACATCTTTATGTACGAAATTAGAAAAAGCTATAGCGAAGCGGCCATAGAAAAAAGAGGAACAGCGGTAGAACTTTTGCGTTAAATTTTGTCTTATGTCGAAATTATTAAAAGCAGAGACGTGAAATTTGGTCAAATTGTGATTGAAATTGGACACAGTAACGTAAGGTTTCCATGTTACCGGCATCAAGCTAACTGTTTCTAACATATTCAAAAGATATGTGTAGTGTTCTAACTCTACAAATATTCTAGACTAGCTATTAAAATCTACCACGAGCAAAAATAAGCGAAAAACATACGGTTTATGACCCAGCAATTTTTTTTTAATGATAAATTTCTGTGAAAGTTCCTTAGAACCAACAGTTTCATTACGGCAGCCCTTTGAAAAAAGATTACACAGAGATAGAAATACACGAGCAAGCAAAATTTATATCAATAATTTAATGACATATATTTTATGTCAGCATTGCAGCTGATTTGTACCTTTAGTGTTAATCGGAGTAAATTCATCATTATATGTCCATGTTAATATATTTGACAAAGTTATTTTATTGTCTTTTATATAAGTTGTGATACCTATTATTGATGATAATAAAGTGGCACTAAGATCTTGCCGTACTAGGTGAATCTTATCATTCTTGTCTAAACTTGGTAACGGCCTAGGTGGTGAGCGGCAGTTTTCCGTTTCTCCAAAGGCGCTAAAGGTTTTGCTGTTCCTTCTGAACACGGTAAGGACTTTATTATCGCAGTTACATTTAACTATTTGGCTATGTTAATATACGTCTGTCTTAACCCTATACGTCTTACTTGAAGTTTCGCATACATACCGATACATTTTTTGTGTGAAAGCCCGTGAAGACCTTATCTTGGTCTTGTGTTTGTCTCGTTATTCAAAGTTGGAATTCCATCAGGTCGCTAACAGCGGATTGATCTTCAGCAGACAACGGATACAGACTTATTTAGTATCGTTTCACTGTGGCCAAATCACTCGCATACGTTATATATAGAATTCGTGTTATAATTGACAAGCACATTAATTACATATGCAGTTGTGCTTGTACCGTTTCGCGATATATAGTGATTATTCATGCGACTGCAATTATAATAACATTACTGCTTTTGCGAACATTTCCATTTCGTAATCTATAACGCTATGCTTTATGAGGGGAGTGCAATAGATATTAAAAACAAAAGCTATCAGGACGGCGTTCTGAAAACTGGACCGGTTTTTAAAAATTGTATTCATTCAATGAAAAGAAAGAATAAAACAAACCTGAGTTTGTATCACAAACTGGACATTATTTGTTCATGATATCACTTGCTGCGATATTCCACTTTGATAACGTGGGGTGAAGGTAACTTTTTCGTCGGTTTAAAAGCCCTTACCCTCAAACATGTACGAAACAAAGCTGTGTATAGAAATGCGAAATAACGCTAGCAAGGCTTATCTTGGCAGCTTGATAGATTAGCGCCGATATAACAGTTAGACGTTTAAACTGCACTCTGCATTTACATACGGTGTTCGGAAAGTCAAGCAGTTCTGTACATAACATAGATCGTTTACACTGAGCGCTGTGAAATTGCACACTTTATGTACACTTCAATAGATGATATATATATATATATATACAAATATTTAATCACTTAAGCACAAGGCTCTTCAACGGCTTCAGTAGCATTGGCGACACAATATTTGCTCACTATGATATTTGCATTACTAGATGCCAAGCAAGTATCCGAAGCACTCATTTATTTATTTTACATATAAAATGGAAATGGCCAATACTAAGATTGTAATGAAATAAAGACGTATA